AAATGAAATATTATATATACGAGGGGGGATTCATAAGTAGTGGGACTTTTCTGAGGCAGCAAGTCCCTGTGTACATATCTCAACCAAATTTGGCACATGAACGGACTAGGATATAAGGCATTGTTTGATGAAATTTCAATTTAATTCATTTTGTTCCCTAGCAACAATGGTTGCTATGGTAACCAAAAGTAGGGTTTAACGGAGCATTTAAAAATGAAGGGCTTGATCAACATAAATATGCTCATAAATATCTCAAAATGACACTTATTTTCAAATATTTGGTTTCATATTGTCTCAAGCCTTGTAGTCATGACAACTGTAACATATATTACATCATCATGCTATTGTGATGTCACACAAAGCAGTGACACCAGGACACTGCCATTTTCAGTCCTTCTTGGATGGAGCAAAATTTGATTAAAATAGCAATGAAAAAGCAAAAATCATGTATAAACATCCGTGCTGTGATTAAATTTAATGCTTTGAAGAGGTTTTCAGTATTAGAGACATTTAGAGGTTTGTTGGAAGACAATAGGAAAGAAGAAGTAAAAACATCTACAGTTTATAGGTGGTATTCTGTATATGTATTATGAATATGCTGTGAGAGCCGAGATTACCAATCTTGGAAAATATTGTTTTGAGGGTGCATACCTAGAATGGTTGAGGAGATGCCAAAAATTGATTGTCATGGTGAATACTTTGAGAAAGAGTGAGATTGCACCAGAAGGATAAGGAATCAATAGTCTTGCACAGAATTGATGTGCTCCACAAAAGGACTCGCTAGAAGTCACGGATTAGATCATGTCCTGAATATCAGTTGAGACTTGTATATTTAACTAGCAATTAGTGACAAACAATGTGCTCCGTGGACCCCGTTGTGACGTCATGATTGGAACTCTCACTTTACTGAAGTTGGGTGTAACTTTTTGAAATTTTCACACAATGATTATCACATGTTTGTGGTTCTGTGTTGCAAGTTTGAATAAAATCTGGTTGATATAAGTGAAGTTATAGCATTTGTCCCACTACTTATGAATCCCCCCTCGTACATCAGTATGGCTTTCAGAAAAATGTCTCTACCTTTATGGCAATCTTAACTTTTGTTGAAAACATACGACATGCGCTGGAGAACAATGAATATTCGCTTGGAATTTTTTTAGACTTGTCTAAAGCCTTTGACACCATTAATCATAAAATCCTTCTAGATAAATTAAATTTTTATGGAATTCAAGGATCTGAACTTTCTCTTTTTAAATCATATCTAAAAGATCGAAAGCAAATTGTATCATATAACAATATTGACTCTGATTTACAAAGTATATCATGCGGTGTGCCCCAGGGCTCAGTCCTTGGGCCGACATTATTCATATTATATGTAAATGACATGTTTAAGGTTTCCAATATTCTTAAAAGCGTAATATTTGCTGACGACAATAATTTGTTGGCCTCAGATAAAGATTTGAAATCTCTAATAGAAAAGGTTAATAATGAATTTGATCTTATGGATGATTGGTTCAAAGCAAATAAATTGTCAATAAACTATTCTAAAACAAAATTTATCTTGTTCAATAAACAGAAACGACAAATCTTTAGAGATATTAAAATTGATATGTCCAGGAAACAAATTGAAAGAGTAAAATCTATCAACTTTTTAGGTGTCATTGTTGATGAACATATTACCTGGAAAGAAAATTAAACATATAGAAGCAAAAATATCCAGAACAATTGGTCTCTTATATAAGATTCGCCACCTATTGAATAAAACAAGTCTTTTGGCAATCTATAATTCCCTGATATACTCACATATAAATTACTGTAATTTAATCTGGGGTGGCCATAGCAATGCTCATACAAATGAGCTGCATTCCCTACTTCTATTTCAAAAGAGATTCCTTCGAATATTAGACAACCAGCTAAGAATGGCACATTCAGCACCTCTCTTTAAGAAGTACAACATTTTACCTGTAAACCAGGTGTATGAATTTAATGTTTCGAATTTTGTCTATTGTTGTATTTACCAGGAACCTGTTTATTCAAAACTATATAATGATTATTTTAATCAAAATGAATATTTTCACAATTATCCTACCAGAAGAAGTCATGATTTACATGCTAGGGCTTACAAAACAAAAATAGGGTTATATTCAATCAAAGTACAGGGTCCAAGAATCTGGAATTCTATCTCAGATCATGTCAGATTTCTGCCTTCTTTACTTCAATTTAAAATGACTAGGAAGAAAAACTTAATTGCTGAAATATAATTATATATTGTCATCTCATCTACCTTTCCATCCATCCATTTTTCCTAAACCGAAATAGAGTTAACACACATTGGCAGCCACAACCCACCACCACTAGCCATAAGTTAGATGCATACATATGCTATCAATATGTATAGTTATTATTGAATTTTCATTTTTGTCACTAAAACAACTTCATACACTTGTTAAAGTGTCAGTTGATGTATAATTTATGTATCATAGTTTGACAATAAAGTATGTAACTAACTAAAGTAGTAAGAAATTGGAAAAACAGGACATTTCACTTGTATTCTAATTTGTTTCAGACATGAAAGAGAAACCTACGCCAGGTTCTTACGGAAATGGACTTATTTAAGTTAGTTAAGTCCCCTGCAAAGTACTGGGCCTCACCGTGGCGCAGGGGTGTAACGATCAACAAACTGTAGTTGTTGATGGCCAATTCAGTACTAATTCAGTCAGAAAATGGCAGACGGGGTTACGTAACTTACCAATCCCATTGTGTATCAGAAGTGAACAAGAGGCGAGCTCAGGTTTTTACTCCTCTTCCTACCTCCTTCACTAATACATTTACCTTTTTATGTTATGTTAAATTGAAAAAGGATGTATAAATAAATACAGAATGGTATTAGAAATACAAATATCTTAGAATTTGTTAATGAATTGCTGTTTAAGAACATGAAGAAGCACGAAACCGACGTGAGTCTATAGTCCGTCAGTAAATATAGTCCGGGTTTATATTGTACACCAATACAGAAAATATGGTCCTGTAAGGACCACACATGGTCCCACGGACCATATATTCAGGGAGACTATATTTACTCTGACACCGGTGTTCCAAGTTGTTGGTACAGTACCACTGTTAACGCATTCCTTTATGATGATGTATAATAAGCGCATACATGTTGGATTCTTTAGAGCCTCTGCAGGAATTTCATCCACGCCGACAGCTTTGCGAAGTTTTGCACGTTTTACGGCATCAATCACTTCCTCCAGCGTAATATCATTATTCATAAATGAGTCATTGGTTCTATTGATGTTTTGTTCTCTTATAAGAAACCTCTGTTTCAACTTGATTCAGGAAATTATTATCATCATGAGTGGTTATTTTGACCAGCATATAAAGATTCAAAATCTGAAGACCATTTGGCCATAATAGTATCAAAATCTCTTGAGATCACCCCTGTGTCTGAGACAACTTCCATTGGAATAGATTTCAAACGATCATTAGAAATACCAATTTTGCCAATTACGTTCTTAAAATCATGTGATGATGATCTGCCAACAGATCGAGTAGATGGCGCTATTCATTGTTCTGGTAGGTACGTTATATTTTGCTCTTGGCACAAAAATGTGATTTCAGAGATTTTCGCTGATGGGTGTTTTTACATTGTAGGTAAGTATCTTCAGACACTTTTACTCGGTTCCACTGCAGTTGGAGTTCATTATTATTTCAATATGGTTAAGGCCTACGGAAGGATTTGGATTTTTTGAATTACAGTGGACTTTAACAGTAAATAAATCATATGAATTTGATAAGAACTTATTTATAACTTAATTTTACCCCCTCAAGTTTTTGTCACTATATGAAATAAAGGGTTCAGTTTTATTGCAGTAACATATTAACGAAAAGTAGAAGTATGGAAATGTAGATTAAATGATTTGAGGAGTAATATATGCCATATATGTCAAGTTATATATTGCTTGCCTTAAAACAAGACCAAACTTTCCAAGAAATACATCTCAATTTGGCTATCCAAGATTTGTGCAAGATCCAGTCGATCTGGATAAATGTGTCTTAAAAAATTACAATAAATAAACCACTTTCCTGTTTTTTATTGGTTCTGATTTATTTCTAAATCTAAGATCAATTACTCTCATATAGTTTTACTTTTCAGAAATAAATATATAAAACGAGTTAAGAGAGGGGAAAACCTGAGGGCTCAGAGAAGACATATGTCTAATGTAAATGTGTTGGCGGTTTCAATCTTTTCTAACACTTTGAATAATATTACTTTAATATCTGGAGTGTTAACCAACATTATAGGTATTTATTTCACAATAAGATGAAGAAAGATGTAAGGAATATGCTTACACCATTTAAAACATCACAACGATATGTGGTATTCTATTCGGAAACTAGCTGGTGAAAATTCGAATGAAGGGTGGTAATTATGTCTGTAATCTCCTAAACTCTGGGGGTTTCCCTCCTCTTAAATGTTATGTATTCAAATGGATGGGTAGACACACACTACAACAAAACTTTGAGCAAGATTCATTTACAAAATAATGTACTTATAATGAAATACTAAGTTCATCAACGCTAAATATGTCCATGAAGAGTGTACATGTACGAGAACATCTAAAATGCACAGGTTTGAAATCGTCAGTTTTTGATGACCTCTTGTATTTTAATGCTGCCAGTTAGCAAGATGTTTGAAATTTATATTGTGTTTAACATGATTTCAATGGAAAGATATACTAGTATTTCATTCATTATCACATCATTCATTTGATTGAGTAGATTTATTCAAACTTCAAACAACCAAAATGTAAATCACGATTTAAATGCACAGAATGAAATAGAATATGGGAAATAAAACACATAGTGTTGTACAGATTCTTCAATGATTCAAGTAAAATTATGGCCCATGGTAAAATGCAGAAAAATTGATGCACAGAAAAGTCTAATCTCCTCAAATACAGTATCTATACCCCACTGCTGAGAATATAGGATATATTTATGTCACATGGACCAATCAGATAGCTAGAAATTTCAACCTCTTTGAGTAATTCAAGATGCGAGCTTATGTTATAAATCTTAACATGCATCACCAACTACTAGTACGTTGTAAAGTAAGCATCTATTAGCTTGTAGTACTGTAGCAATGGACAAATGGCACTAATTTGCATAATAAGACAAATACATATACTGGCAAAAATTATAGATAATTACAATAGACTAAATGTATGTATGTGCAAGGATGTCCTTAGTATGTGCATGTATCATGTCTTTGTTTTACTGTTTCTCGGGTTGCTAAGGAGACAATAATAAATATTATATACTATATTTTAATCATACTACTTTCCTCTGGCTATTACAGATGATTTTAGAATCATTCCAATGATGATAAAGTCTCAATCTAGTTATCATTTGTTTAAGTAGGTAAGGTAGGGTCAACTTGAATTTGGTTAATTCCAGATTAATCAGACATAACATTTACACAAACCTATTTTTATGCAAAATCTAGTTTGAAAAAGAATCCCTTTCCTGTTTGAGGAACAACAAATTCAAATTATAAAAGAGGCGCATATATGACTTACCCCTATAATCTTTAAAATGCTATTTATTCATTTATTAAGAGGACAATATTTTTTCAAAATGCTACATTTGTATAAAAAAGGTTTGTATCAAAGTCTATGATGCATGATAAAATATTCTAATTTTTGTAGTACATTTTAGGATTTTGGTTGAGTCCCTTTCATGACTCAATTGTGGATTCAGGCCATGCTTATTAGCAGGGTCACAAGATAATGAACCACAAACATATCAAATCTTAATCCAAGATGACCAAAATAGTGTAATAGATAAGATCTTAGGTTACAAATGAGCTCTTTTGTGATAAAACTGATGACATTTCATTACAGGATTCAATCAGTATGACACACAAGCCCACAAAACATCACCGATATAGGCAACAGTTCATTTGGTCATGTAAACAAATAGAAATCTGCCAAACTCAAAATGAATGATAAAAACTGTCACTTTGGATTCAATAAAAATGCCTGATAGAGATTATGAAATCTGTCATTTTAGATTCAATAAAATGCCTGTATAGAGATATGAAATCTGTCATTTTAAGATTCAATAAAATTGCCTATAGAGATATCGACTTCCAACTACAGTATTGTTCATCATGAGTCTACATCTTGTGTATCAATGTCTTTAGATGTTTCCTCTTGTTGTTGTTTAGGTGGGGGTAGCTCTAAGTTGGGCCAACTTCCTGGTTCAGCCTTACGCAGGTTCACTTCAACCTTTGTACCCAACATCTTAACATTACATGCAGCAGGGTCAATGATCTGCAAATATAATCAAGTGAGATTGTTTTTTTATGAAAAAAGGAATATATTGTAGTTGAAAAAAATGTTCACTTAAGTGAAATAAATTGCCTTTAAAAAATTATCTTCAAGTGGTAATATTTAGAGAAAAGAATGTTTGTATCTACGTCAGACAGATTGATGTTGCAAGTTTAAGATTATTTACAATTTTGGCATTTTTATAGGATCAGAAATGGGCATGAAGTCCCTTGCAATCACAGTTTAATGCCAAAATAATATATACATTTCACACCATTTCCTAAAACGTTTTATGTTATATGTATGTCAGTGACATTGACTGCTAGTATTTCTGATGTTGCACTTCTATACTTCAGGCTTGAATCAAGTTCAGTTAGGTTCAATCAATAGATGGCGCACTGGCATGTCTGCTTTTCACTTACCCCATTAAGGACAAGAAAATGTTGGAAGTGTGATTCTCCCCCTTCAAACACAATATTGATATTTGCTGTCACTTTATTCACTTCAACATAAGATTTTTCTGGCACAGCAACTTTGGAGTAAATTGAGATTGTTATGAAGTTGCCTGTTTGAAACCAGTCAAATCTGCACACTGCTTGTTTTTCACCATCAGCCTGGAAAATACAATGAAGAAGATATGTAAAATAAAGCACAGCATATAATACAATAAACATTCTACATTTGGCAGTCATTGAGTGAAAAACTAGGCATAGTTTGTATCATAAATAATAGATAAGTAGGTGCTTAGATTGCAAGGGATTAGAAGATGGCATAAAGTATTGTAGGCTATAAAATATGTGACTGAAGGAGGATGTAATATACAATGTAACAAAAATACATGTACTTTTAACATAATGCTGTGCAATAAATCCAGTTAATATATGAGTTCTAATGAAATGCTATAAAAATACAAATTACTGACATCCTAGTATATATTATATACAAAATTGTAAATCTTCATAAAAGAATGTATATTTATGTTGTGATATCATGTACTCCATATCCTATGTGCTTATCAAATTTGGTGGATAAAATAAACAAAATAATCATAATAACAAGGCAAAAAAGTTTCTGGATGAGTTTCTTCTTTTATGATTTTGAACAAAATCATATGCCATGTGTGAAAATAATTTAAGCACACAGCTCAATAAGTTGTGGGTCATTTAATGCATGTGCACATGCCTTTGAAGTCGAGCTACTACCCTCATTCAAAGTCTCATATAAGAAGGGTAGCACTAGCAGTTTCACAAAATCTACCCAAATTCTCAACTCCATGCTTTTTCAATGAAAGTCAGTTAAATAAATATCTATGACATGTATTTGTAATAACATCTAGTACTGTACATTAAATGAAATCATTTTAAAATATCTGATGGTAATTCTTCTAGGATTAAAAGCTTGTTTGTTATTGGTGAGTGCTTCAAGTTGATACCTTATATCATTAATCATTTGGCATTTATGTCTTTGTTATGTCCTATACATTAGATTAGTAGTTATCCTACAATTATTTAGAAATGTCAAGTCTGTAGAACATCAAGTATTTCTCAGTTGTTTGAAAAAAGTAATGGAGAGGTTAAGCTAACGATGTTTCTCACAACGTAACCGTGAACGCAAAGTACAAAATTAACAAAGGAATGTATCGAGCGCTCATAGTTTTATGCGCGCTTAGTCTACTTCAGATACTCTTTCAGCTTCAGAGTTTCGGGTTTAGAACGGGAGATTTGAAATTTGACGTTGGGTCAACAGGAACCATTTTACTCGTGTCTATTGAACACTATGCTGTCAATTTTGATTTCGATGCACAGTTGAATTCTTGCTGAACACGATGATGTATGTCATGCATGATTTAGCGCCAAAAATCTTACGAAACGAGCTCGTTTAAAATATGTATTAGAAAACCAGCTATAAAACCGCATCAATGACATACTATAGAATCATTACACGCTATGGTGTGGTCTAAACAAACACTGGATTTGAACGGCTATTTATATGAGAAGGCTACATGAATTTGTATATGGTCGAGTGATACGTACAGGTTCAGTTTCGATTATATATGCAAAGCTTAACCTCTCCAATATCTGTGGGACAAAGATCTACACATTAGAAATATCTTCTTGCATTCAAATAAAATGAGGAATGAATTGTTGGATAACTGATATATGGATGAACTTGGGATAAATCAAACATAATTTTATATCCCAAAAATGATATCACAATGAAAGTTCTCTTGAAAGCCCATGATATCACTCAAAATAATAATACATACTGTAATCACAATATACACATATTTTCTATGACAAAGTGAACATTATATCACAGAAACATTTACGCAAAGACTGAATAGCATCAGTGCAGCTCAGTTTTTTTCTATTAAATAGTTATAATCCATTATATCTCCATTAATCAGTTCTAAAACATGCAACAATAAAACTGCCAGTTATTGCTTTTGATCCATTACATAAAGTGCGGCAAATTGATATAAACAAGACATTAACATGCAAAATGTCATCACCTGCCATTTGTCAAAAATGCCAACCACCGAACACCAACCATAGAACACCATCCACAAAAAAGTTGGACACTATAACAATATGTCACCACTTGTGGTGGTGACATAAATTAAAAGACATTTGATTGGGCTTTTAAATGGAAGCATGGATAAATTAATTTAATGTTAACATGTCCAGGATTTAGTATAACATGGTGAGGTGGTTTCAGCAGCAAAGGTTAATGAATGCAGCTGAAATAATTTAAGTCATTTTGATCTCAAAATTCTAAATAGAAGTATTAAATCCTGACTCAAAGGCTTCAAACAGAAAATATTGGTCATTTTGAATTTTTGCACGCTTTTTCATCAAGATCGGTAAATATTAATCCATATTTCAGCAGTTTCTCTTAAACAAAGACTACAAAACAATGTTTGCACAACTGATATGCAAATCATGTTTACCTGTATAACAATCTAAGATATGCTAGCTGTCATTAGCTTCAAATAGAAATAGAAGAATAGTTGTCAAGATTCCAAGATAGTCAGAGACGTTTGGCAATCAAAATGTTGGTCACAAGTCAAATAATAGAAAACTCTAAGCCAACATTTATGGTGATTGTTATTATTTCTTTATTCATCAAATATAAAAGGTATATATAATGTTACAACATATATAAATAAAGCAATTTATGAGCTATTGTTATTACTGTAATATTGTTATTACTGTACAATTGTAATGTATAAATTAATGAATATTTAACTTTATATTAAATGGTGGGGTGGCCATAGTTTATAATTATACTTATGCATACCATGTTAATGTCCACTTAAAGGCTCTGTGTTTCAACTACTTCGGGTTATATTTTATGTGAAATTTTTCTGTAGATTATAATCTTGACTCCTGTAAATTACATCTATCTGAGAAGCTGGGAAAATATAAGGCTAAATGCAACAATTGAGCTGACAAAAAAGATGAGAGCAAAAATGCGATCAGTAACCATGGCAACTTTCATCCAGAATTTTTTAACACAATCAGCTGAAGGTCTAAAGGCCCTTAGCTCTAACTTTGTTAATTTGGACACATTGCATGCATTATCGCTATCAAAGCTTTCAATATGCAATTGGTCAAACCCATTGGCAGATGGCCGAGTCTCAGAATTGCAAACAGATCTAGCACTAGATACGTTATCCTCAAAACTGACACCCAATGCTCTGCCTATATTCTTCAATACCTTAAAGCGTTTAGACTCAGGTCCAGTTTTTCTAGGATGATTATTGAAATGAACATTCAGGCTGAAGATGGTTAACATCACATTGAGGGTCATCATTAACAGAATGAATCCGATAAATTGAGTGATAAGGGGAACGTTGTCTGATTGAATAGAAATAGTTGAGGACACTGTGATTTGTAAAACCGTCATTGACAACAACACCATGATAGCTAAAGGGGCTCGTGAACCAGATTCTATAGGCATTAAAAACCCAAGTGTGCTCAGAATATGCAAAAATAAACATGGCAGAATTAAAGTTGTGATGTAGAACAATGGCTTGCGTCGTAATGTCAGAGTGTACTCAACGTCAACGTACAACTCATGGCAGCACACATATTTCACTGCATTTCTCTTCGCTTCATAATTTTCAAAAATCCATTCTCCGCTCGGTTCCGCAAAATTCTCTCCATCTTGTTTTGGATCCTGGGGGTATGTATCTATCTCCTTTCCAGTGTGTGTCCAAGATCCGAAATAAACAATACAGTGCTGAGTGTCAAAAGGAAACATGGTGATGTCAATGGGACAGTTTGTTTCTATGACACCAGGAAAATACCATCTGATATCCCCATTGTTATAAACAATCACGGGGACCTCTCTGCTATAATCTTGCAAGGAGGTATAATCCTCATTGACGTTGTTGTACAAGACGATATCTGGTGTCCATAAATCAGCTGTTGGAAAGTGAAGGATGGATATATTTCCGTAGTCTTTTGGATCCCATCGTAAACGCTCATCGTTCCAAAAAAACCTAAACCAAACTTTTAATTTAATAGCCCGGCTTCGTTCATGGACATGTAAAAGGTTTCTCACAGTCATTCCCATAGTGAGATTGGTTGTGGTGTTAAGGTGTGGACGTGTACTGGCAACATAGTCTTTAAATAGTGCCTTTTGTAAATCACGATCCCATTGCTCGCCATTAGAACACTGCCCATAAGTTAATACAGTGACAACAAAGACCAGCCGGAAATTCATAGTGTGATAGATTCCTTCTTCCTTGCTTGATTTACATGACAAGTCAAGTTGTCAGTTTAATAAATCTATTCTTGCTGAACTTCTTAATTACTCGTATGTATCCAGCACAATATAAAATGGTGTTTCAAAAGTATCTTATACTTGCTTTTCTGTGCAATAACAAAAATCAAATATTTGAGCGCTAACATGTCTCGTTTGGTAGCTTGTACCCAGGTGTTTTATAAAGCGTTTGTATTGCAATTATAAATATATGTAATCGGATAAGGCCATAGAAAGTTTATTTTATGTTAACATCCAGCAACATAACATAGAGCAGATAACTAACATACAATCAATGGATAGGAAAAAGTATACAACATGTTAAATCAATAAACAGAGAAGATCAATGTAAATCTCAGATTCTAGAATTCAATAAAACTTGACATTATGTTCAAGCAGATCCCAGATTTCACAGAATATGATAGTTGTGCCTTTGTCTTTTCAAAATTCCTCATAACATAGGACTCAAAACACTGAATGAACCAATGGCCTAACATTATTGTCGCATGCTCTTCCTCATTTGGAAAGTAATTTACAAATAGCAACATAATGAATAGCTGAATTGTGATGAAACTGGACTCCTAAAGAGTGGACCAAAAAACATACACATGTTGTTTCATTCTGCTATTTTTTCAAAATGTATGGATTCAATAATATTCTTGCAGGAAATGCAACAGTCAAATATAATAGCTCAATGAGTAATGAGTAAGGTTATCAATTAAATTAATAAGTGTGTGAATGAAAACTCCTGGTTTCAAGGTTATATTCCTTGCTCAAGAAGATTAGCAAAATCCTAACATTTGTTCTAACATTTGTGGGCTCAATCTAGCACCTTGGCTTACTGATCTAACTTACCACAATTAAGATATTGGTATATTTCAACGTGCACAGGTAAATTTTCCCAAACACCCTTTTCCTTAATAATGATACTGCTATTCTTCACGTAAATTGTTTGTCTTGTCATACTTATAATATTCAATTTTTTGTCCAGAGATAATTTCAGAAAATTCTGAACAGTATACCCCACGTTTCTCTGAAAGACTGTATAAGAGAATAAGATGTTAATCTGCAATCTGGCACTATTATGTCAGGCATGACTAATATCTTTATTTAGACTCCTAGTATCTGTTAACCTTATTCAGAAACCCATTTTCATATCATTTTAGAATCAATATAAAAGGGACTACTGCACCTTTATTTACAAATAATAATAATAAAATTATTTTTAAAATATATGAATTATTAAAAATTTGTTTCCAAATATAAAAATATAGAAATTCTTTGGCCCACCCTGTTTACTTACATGAACTCTGAGCATATTATATTACAAATTCAATTTGTAGAGTTATAATATTGCATATACAATTAATCATGAGAATTAAATGATAAATGAAAATGAACCATTTCTATCCATTTCTTTTTAGCCTTGCAACTCGAAATATAAAACCTAAATCTATCAAATTAAGATGTATCTAATTTACTGTAAATACCATTTTATTTGTATAAAGCCACAATTTAGCAAAAAATTGTGAATTTACATTGTTTACTGATTCTTTTTTTAAGGGTTACTTAGGATTTGCAAATGTTTTGTATTATAGATTTATTACAAGTATTTATGTATATGTGTTCATTCTCATGCTATTTATCAATCAATCAATGTAAGATAATGCAGACAATTTTGGATGCTTATATTGGATTGTGGGTGTTTCCAGACCATGTAAATAATAAAGTGAATACACACACGACAATTATAAATCTGACAAGACATTCGTTGAAGCAAGCTACTTATCAAAGTGTGGCAAATTCTAAGCCTCAAAGTTTTCATACTATAGGCACAATGCCCACATAAGCGCATATAAGTGAATATACCATACATGCTCAACCTACCTCATTTTTCTTCCAAAGATGTTTCCCTGATGTACAGCCTTCTTGAGACATGAATGTGTTAAAATCTGAAGTCTTCCTGCGACAACATGACCAATATTTCATCCTGGAATACATAGAACACTAAGGCTAATCTATCATCTATCAGGGTTCTTTACCTTTTTAGAATGAAATTCACTTCCAGGTAAATTATTCATTTGCAGATTTTGCGCTTTGTATGAATTACATAAAGTATATGCCAAAATAACTATGCCATGTTGAGATACTTAACTATAACTTTATAGACAGTTTTGTTTTTCAAATTACATTTACATTACATTGTTTATTAAAATTATGTAGGTACAAGAGAATCAATGGTATAAATGATATTCATTTTTTGTATTTTTTGATATAATCAAAGTTAAACTTACCCTTCATGGAATATAGGAACGCCAGGATGATATCTACATATTTCTATATCACTGTCTTCATTTATATATTGCTGAAAATCAAAGAAATAAATATCAAACGAGAAAATGAATATTCTCATTTAGCAAATCCCAAATGAATAAAATATTCATGAATCTGCATATGTATGATACAATATTTACAATCTACTCTCCCCTTGATTTGCAGATAACAAAAGACAGATATTGGAGATATATCAGAATTTCCACAGATTTTAGCATTTTGGTGATCGTATAGGAGTGGACTGACTGACTGCTGGATAGATGGATGTATGGACGAGGGCTTTACTATATTCCTTCCTACTGAATACTGAACTTTATTCCTTGGAATCCTTCATTTATAAGGGATATAGGTAATAAAGGATATCGAAAACAATCATTTATTAAACGATATTGAGCATTTATAAAGAAGGTGACCCCCCAAAAGCAACCCTTGAATAAAAGAAACTGCAACTTTAATTCACATTGCGAAGATTACATATTTGGCACATGGATAATTCAGTCTATACATGCTGAAACTGATAAGTAACAAACTTACAACCTCAAATCTAACTTAATTCCAGTGATTTCAAAATACAGGGAGACACTAGATCTCACCAATCATGCTTTAGACATACCAGGAGTAGATTCATCCTATTACATAAAATAGACTTCATATGAAAATATTGATACATCTCAAAAAATATGGAAATTGTGTAATTTTGATATATTCTGTCTAAAAAACTATTAACTGCAATGCCAAAATTTCCACCTCGGCAAGATACTTACACAGCTACAAGCATTATTCTTACATGTTGTGCCTGGCTTTACAGTGCCATCATCTGCCTCTGTAATGTAAAGTGCAGCATGTGTTATCTCAAATTGTGTACTATACCCAAAACACCTCCATGAATTTTCCCTAATTCAAGCAAGAAATTCACTGATAAAATGTGTTGTTTTTATCTAATGAAAGATTACAGGTTTGTTTAATAGCTTAGGAGTCAAATTTTAAAGTTTAAATTTTTCTCAAGTGTTACAGTATTACATTCTATTATATTCACATTAAGTTTAGTTTATCAATATGCATATACTGTAACTGATCTTCATTAGAGATCTTAGGTCAAGGTCACAATGACATTATATCTTGTAAACATAACTGAACTGAATGACTCATTAACTCTTGGCCTTCTAGAAAGTACTGGAACTTTAATCATTTAAACAAGATTGAATCATGTGACTTAAGATGTCCAATCAGTGTTATTTTCTAGAAATCGTAACTTCTTGAAACATCTGGACTTTGCCTTTGAACTATATAATGAGAGAGCTGATTTGGGCTGTTAGCAGAATTTCAAAGTTTATCAAAGGGACATCTTCTTAGCGGAATATTACAGACACCTACTGTGGGAACATTTATAACACTACAAACATACAACCTGAGGACTTTATATGGACATATATTACAACACACACTATATACGGATTATCATATACATTCGTGGATTATCATAAACATTTGTGGATTATCATCAAACATTTGTGGATTATCATCAAACATTATTGGATTATTACAAACATTGGAGAACTATTAACGATTATTGAAACATTTCGTGATCTGGATCATTCTCAAGGATCGTCAACGACATTTATCGACATCAAGAATAAGCCGTACCATTGATTGGACATCACTTAAGTATTAAACCTCCTTTATATTATTGTTATATTATTTAGTTTTCAAAGTATAAATATATTGTTATCATATTTTAATTGCTGTTTTTACTTTCTGTTATTTTCGTACGTAACAGAAATTGGGGGCTCGTCCGGGATACAACTACAACAAGCTAAAATTCAAATATTTCAAAATTAGAAATCCAAAACTTGTACATTTAAATTGTGAAGACAGCAATTAATTGAAAATGAGTTTTGAGGTTGAGACATTTTTAGAAGCGCCCTCTTTGGAGGAATTTGACGATTTAAAGAAAACTGAACTTCTGGCAATTGCAAAACATGTTGGCCTGTCAGTCAAAAGCTCATACAATAAAGGTACAATTAAAAACTTTGTACTTCAATATTTGGTCGCAGAATCACTTCTGCCTGAGGAGCCAGCCCAGCATGTCGAGCATACTGATCCTATTAGGCTTAAAGAACTTGAATTGAGAGAAAAAGAGTTGCAAAATGAAAGAGAATTGAGAGAAAAAGAGTTAGAAATTCAAAAAGAAAGAGAAATTAGAGAATTGAGAGAGAAAGAATTGCAAAATGAAAAAGAAATAAGATTAAGAGAACAAGAAATGCAAAATGAAAAAGAAATAAGATTGAGAGAACAAGAAATTCAAAAAGAAGTTGAATTAAAACGACTTGAATTTGAAGCTCAATCAAAAACTGATGAACATGCTACTATGCATCAACATTTTGAAAATAGGTTTGACGCTTCAAAATTTCTCAAATTTGTACCTAAATTTCAAGAGAAAATGTTGATAAATACTTTACACATTTTGAAAAAGTCGCTCAGAGCCTAGACTGGCCTAAATCAGCATGGCCAGTTATGCTTCAGAGTGTATTCATTGGTAAAGCGAGTGAAATATTTGCCTCTCTCTCAGCAGAAGCATGCTCTGATTATGACCTAATAAAAAATGCAATTCTTAAAGCTTATGAACTAGTGCCAGAAGCTTACAGACAAAAATTTAGAAATGCCCACAAACAGAGTGACCAAACCCATGTTGAGTTTGCTAGAGAGCAAGAGCAGCTTTTTGACAGGTGGCTTGTCTCTAAAGATGTATCTGAAGAGTTTAAAAAGCTCAGAGAGCTTATGCTAATAGAACAATTTAAAAACTGTGTTCAGTATTACATTAGAACTTACTTAGATGAACACAAGGTAGAAACTTTAAGTCAAGCTGCCACCCTGTCTGATGATTATGCTCTTACTCATAAGGGTAGTTTTATCAAAGGTAATCCTAACTCTAACTTTAGAGGTTATCATGGTAACAAACCTTCATATGACTCTAAATCAAATCAGTCCTCACCATCAAATACATCAAACAAAGCAAAAGACCAGTCTAATTCATCACAGAGTTCTAGCTCAAAATCAGATCAATCAAATTCTTCAGGTCCAAAATCAAATGTCACCTGTAACTATTGTAAAAAGCCTGGTCATCTTATTTCTGAATGCTATAGGATTAAGAATAGAAGAGAGATGTCTGGTTCTGCTCATTCAAATGGTTGTGCTACAGTTCCCATTTCAAGAAAGCCCATTGTTTGGGATTCATATACTCATACTGAGAAATCTACTCATAGTGATATTATGGAGGATTATAAGCCTTTCATGTCGGAAGGATCTGTGTCACTGTCAAGTGATGATACCAATTCAAAGCCTGTTAAGATTCTTAGAGACACGGGTGCATCTCAGACTTTGTTGTTAGAAGGTGTCCTTCCTTTATCTGAGGAGTCATTCACAGGTACCCATATTTTGATGCAAGGCATTGAATTAGGATTTACTAAAGTTCCCCTCCATCGTATTCATATCACATCAGAGTTAGTCAAAGGGCCAGTTATTGTTGGTGTTAGGCCACAACTTCCTGTTGAAGGAGTCGCATTGCTTTTAGGCAATGATTTAGCTGGGGGTAAGGTATCATTAGACCCCATTGTTTCTGATCAGCCTTGTTCTATTGAGGATTCTGTCCAAGAGGACTCTGATATATATCCTGCTTGTGCTGTTACTAGGGCTATGGCTAAAAAGTTAGCTGATAGCGGGGATTCGTCTGTGGGAGATGACTTTGATAGTGGGTTTTTAAGCTCCTTGTTTGATGATGAATGTCACTCACCACTTGTTAAAGATGATCCTTATCCTATTTTAAAGGCAAATTCTTCATTGAAACAGCCTTCTGTTCGAGCCAAGCAGTCATCTATTGAGGCAAATTCTTCATTGAAAAAGCCTATTGCCAGAGGTGATTCACCTTCTGAGCAGGATCACTATTTTAATGCGGTTTCGCCCGCTCTTGCTAGTCCCGATGAAGTTTCATCTTCTTCTGCTAGTGTTCATGAGGTTTCATCTCCTCCTTGTTCTGAGGTTTCATCCTCTATTTCTGATAGTGATTCTTTGAAAAATGATCCTCATTCTAAACACATGTTAATTTATGAACAAGAGCATGATCCATCACTCATTGATCTTCATAAAAGATGTCTTACTATTGATGAAGCTGACAAGGTCCCTGTTTGTTTCTACAAAAAGGATGGCATATTAATGCGAAAGTGGAGACCTCCTGAAGCTTCCCCTGAAGACGATTGGGCAATTGTGCATCAAATTATTGTCCCAAAATCATATCATAAGGAAATCTTGAGTCTAGCTCATGATTCGCCTATGGCAGGTCATTTAGGAGTAACTAAAACATACCATAAAATACTCAACCATTTCTATTGGCCCAAATTAAAACAAGATGTCCAAGAGTATTGTAGGTCTTGTCATACATGTCAAATGGTAGGGAAACCTAACCAGAAAATTCCAACTGCTCCTTTACACCCTATACCTGCATTTGATGAACCATTCAGTAAGGTTCTTATTGACTGTGTTGGTCCATTACCAAAAACAAAATCTGGTAATCAATATTTACTCACTATTCTTTGTATGGCCACACGGTTTCCAGAAGCGATTCCACTTAGAAATATCAAAGCCAAAAACATAGTGAAATCACTCATCAAATTTTTCACCTTAGTTGGATTACCAAAAGATCTTCAGTCTGATCAGGGCTCAAATTTTATGTCAGGCTTATTCCAACAAGTCATGGATACCTTGGGTATCAAACAGTGTAAGTCAAGTGCCTATCACCCAGAGTCTCAAGGAGCTCTTGAGCGTTACCATCAGACGCTTAAGACCATGATTAGAGCTTTCTGTTTTGAATATGAGAAAGACTGGGATGAGGGCATACCCTTGCTTCTGTTTGCTACCAGGGAGGCTAAGCAAGAATCATTAGGGTTCAGTCCATTTGAGCTAGTATTTGGTCATTCTGTGCGTGGTCCACTTAAATTGCTAAAAGAAAAGTGGCTGACAGAAACTGAAAGGTTTAATTTATTGAACTATGTCACTGGGTTTAAAGAGCGCCTATCAAAGGCTTGTGAAATAGCCAAAGAAAATTTGCTCAAAAGCCAAGATAAAATGAAAACCTGGTACGATAGAAAAGTCAAAGAAAGATCATTTCAGCCTGGTGACAAAGTTCTTATATTACTGCCACTTCAGACAAATCCGCTACAAGCAAAATTCTTTGGTCCTTATGTAGTGGATTCCAAGGTCAATGACCTCAATTATATTGTCAAAACTCCAGATAGGCGCAAAGAAACACAACTGTGTCACATCAATATGATGAAAAGGTACTTTCAGCCAGACAAAGAGCATGACTCAGTTAAACCTGTTGTCACTTTGGCACCTGCCCTTGTAAAAGAAACTGATCTACAAGATTCAGATGATATCAATTGTACTGATTTAGACTATGAAGATATCAAAGGTTTGTCTAGGTTAAAGAACTCTGAAGTATTATCAAATCTAGATCATAAATTGCACCATGTGACAAATGATCAAAAACGGCAAGTCACAGACTTAATTCATGAGTTCACTGATATCTTCTCTGATGTACCGACTAAGACATCTATAGCTTATCATGATGTTGAAGTCCAAGATGTAACCCCTATTAAGCAACATGCTTACAGAGTAAATCCATCAAAATCAGAAGATTTGAGAGCTGAGGTCAATTATATGTTAGAAAATGACATAATTGAAAAGAGCAATAGCCCATGGAGTTCACCAGCTTTCATTGTACCAAAATCAAATGGTGGACGTAGGCTAGTAGTTAATTATATCAAAGTGAATCGAGTAACAAAGACCGATTCTTATCCCATACCACGAATTGACGACTGTATTGACAAAATTGGAACTGCTAAATATGTCAGTAAATTTGATCTCCTCAAAGGATTCCTAGGGGTTCCATTAACTGAAAGAGCAAAACAGGTATCTGCCTTTGTTACTCCTGATGGTTTGTACCAATTTAAAGTTATGCCATTTGGTATGAAAAATGCACCTGCCACATTTCAAAGAATGATGAATGGCTTATTAGCAGATCTCGAAAACACTGGTGTCTACATCGATGATGTAATTGTCTATTCTGACACTTTTGATGAACACATGTGTTTGCTGCGTAAGTTGTTTGAAAGAATCTCTTTAGCCAATTTAACCATCAATTTGGCTAAAAGTGAATTTTGTAAAGCCACAGTTGAATATCTGGGCCATGTGGTGGGTCAAGGGCATGTTAAACCAGTGAGTGCCAAAGTGGAATCAATAATACAACTCCCAGCTCCTACTAACAAGAAAGAATTAATGAGAAGTCTTGGAATGGCTGGCTTTTATAGGAAGTTTTGTCCAAATTTCTCTTCAATTGCTCTTCCATTGACCAATTTACTTGGAAAAAACATCAAATATGTGTGGTCTGAACAATGTCATACAGCCTTTGATAAAATCAAGGCCATACTAAGTGAACAACCAGTGCTTGTTGCACCTGATTTTAGCAAGCCATTCAAAATTCAAGTAGATGCTTCTGATGTAGGAATGGGGGCTGTCCTATTACAAGAAAAGGATGGTATTGATCATCCAGTGTGTTATTATTCAAAGAAATTTGATAAACATCAGAAAAACTACTCCACCATAGAAAAGGAATGTCTAGCATTACTTCTGTCATTACAACATTTTGAAGTATATGTTAGTGCACCAGTTCATGCAGTTACTGTATTTACTGATCACAATCCGCTGACATTCCTTCATAGAATGAAGAACAAGAATCGTAGATTGTTGAGGTGGAGTCTGTTATTGTCAGAGTACAATCTTGACATAAGACACATCAAAGGCAAGGATAATTTAATTGCTGACACTCTTTCAAGAGTGTAATGTCTCTATTTTTTAAGAGGCTATTTGACTTATACTGCAATTGCCTAAGGCTTTGTGTTGATATAATAAAAGGATTGTACTTAGAGTGTGATTTGATAATATTATTGTAATATGTTTTTTATTGTATTTGACTATTGTAAACAAATGTTATGTAAGTCTCAACCTCATCTTGTAATTGTAACCCTCGCTACACCAGATATTATTGTAAAAGTTTTTCATTGTATTCAAAACTTTTCTTTTAAGGAGGGAGGTGTTACAGTATTACATTCTATTATATTCACATTAAGTTTAGTTTATCAATATGCATATACTGTAACTGATCTTCATTAGAGATCTTAGGTCAAGGTCACAATGACATTATATCTTGTAAACATAACTGAACTGAATGACTCATTAACTCTTGGCCTTCTAGAAAGTACTGGAACTTTAATCATTTAAACAAGATTGAATCATGTGACTTAAGATGTCCAATCAGTGTTATTTTCTAGAAATCGTAACTTCTTGAAACATCTGGACTTTGCCTTTGAACTATATAATGAGAGAGCTGATTTGGGCTGTTAGCAGAATTTCAAAGTTTATCAAAGGGACATCTTCTTAGCGGAATATTACAGACACCTACTGTGGGAACATTTATAACACTACAAACATACAACCTGAGGACTTTATATGGACATATATTACAACACACACTATATACGGATTATCATATACATTCGTGGATTATCATAAACATTTGTGGATTATCATCAAACATTTGTGGATTATCATCAAACATTATTGGATTATTACAAACATTGGAGAACTATTAACGATTATTGAAACATTTCGTGATCTGGATCATTCTCAAGGATCGTCAACGACATTTATCGACATCAAGAATAAGCCGTACCATTGATTGGACATCACTTAAGTATTAAACCTCCTTTATATTATTGTTATATTATTTAGTTTTCAAAGTATAAATATATTGTTATCATATTTTAATTGCTGTTTTTACTTTCTGTTATTTTCGTACGTAACACAAGTTTGTTGAGGATTCAAAAATTCTCTGATCAATTTTGCCACTTTTAACTTTTGCAGGTCATATAAAATTAGTAATTTTGCATGCAGTTAATTTCTAATTTTATTTACTCTTATTGTGACTGGCAAAATGAATTTTCTCCAGTTGTTTTTCTCAAAGTTGTCTGTTATTTTGAGGTATTTTGTGACTGTCTCAATGTTAAAATAATAATTTCCAATAATTTCATATCTATGTTTTCAATCATTTTGCAGGTTATCAAAAATTCTAATGAAGTTACTTGCGAAAGTGCACATACCCTCAGTTTGATCATTTTGGATCTTTAATTGATTCAGCTTCCTTTCAAGTGCAGACTTCAGAGAACCAGCCACTGTAGCTGGTAGGCGTATAAGAGGCTCATCTGAGGGTGGTCTGACTGTCGGCTCAGCTATAGGGGCTCTTGGAGGGGGAGGAGCTTGTTCTTGGATTATCTAGAACATATAGGTTTTAAAAAGATAGAAACCACCAGTCTCAAAAATGGTAACGATAACAATCAGTTAACAAGCTATTAACCGAACTCCCATGCAGTGTCTCGGTATAGACACTGCGGCAGGCAGATGAAGAAAATCCCCAATATTTGGGGAAAATAATTCCCCTTTTCATCATATATGTGGTCAATTTTCACACAACTTATTAAATATGTATTCATAAATGTTCCCCAAATATTATTTTGTCAAAATATTTCAAAATAATTGAAATATGAGAAGAAATCGCGGAAGGAATTCTGAGAAAAAGTTGTGTTGATAATTGTTTACCGCACGTGTTGTTTATTAGTTAAAATTCGCAATTCAACCAATGAAATTGTCTACATTTTACAATCACGCGACCTGAGCATGGGACTAGAACCAATCACGTCAGTTGTTTATTACGAAGTTACCATGCTTACGGTGAGATACCTGCCCGCCGCAGTGATATACCACTGCACGGGAGTTCGGGTATTAACATGCAAAATGTCACAACCTGCCATTTGTTACAGGCACTGAATGAACACTTATGGTGGTGACAAAATAAGTAATAATCACTAATTAATCTTCAAACCATTTGATGACAAAAGCCGTGCCTTGTAAAAAAGTTGTTTGTCGACTTCTATAACCAATCAATATATCTTCTCCTAATAGATGATAGAATTGCATAAATATTTCCATGGGAATCGTTTTTACAGATAATTTTACAGATTCAACAATCTTTGTATAAGCCTATACTGTTATGTTACACATCATACCTTTTCTATATCAGTACCATTTTGTTCAGGTTTCTCAGGTTCTGGGGGTTTTATATTACTGTGTGGTCCCTTTGTACAACCCTGTAAACAGTGTTCATGTATATAAATAATAAGCCTACTTGGTAGTTCAAGGCTTCTAAGGCCCCATCAAAAGTTTAAACCACTTTTTCCTAATTTCCTGACATCCGAATTAAAGTGTTACAGAAATAAGAGCATCAACCTTTGTCAATTTAAGGGTACTATACTAGGTAAATTCTGCATTTGAGAACTCTGGGTTATTTCATGGATAATTACTCTGGAAAAGCGTACCTATGATCTTTAAAAGTAACTTACAGGAATATTTAGAAACTCTGTAAAATCTGTGCTGCGCCTTTTACAACATGACCAGCCTTTTAGCGCATCATGAAATACTGGTGTCCCTGGGTGAAATTTACAGGCATCTGCAAGCAAAAGCATGAGTACAATGTAACAAGGCGAAATTATGCAAATTAACAGTGCATAATAATATGAATAGATGTTGATGAAGTATAGGGTAACATTAAAACATGTGTCATGGTAAACTAGAAAAGGAAATCAGACTGAAGTACATGTATTGAATTAGAAGCTTTTTATCAAAATGCTTCATGATGAAGTTACAACATATAATATTTGTATAACGCATGGAAACTAACTTTAAAAGTGAGCAATGTCATTAGTATTGTGACAATAACGTCCCTTATACCTATTTACTACAGGTCGTGTAGACCATTGTTGCCCGATTTATAGCGAAAACATTGACTTTTGCATGTTGGTGATGATGCGCCTTTTTTAGTAGATCTCATATCTTAGAAGGGTATCAGTTCAAAAAAAATACTAGATGACCTAACATATTTTGCCATGCATTGCGCCTATTCATTTGGCAATTCAGTTGTAAATTTTCTCTTGAAAAAATAAATCTTCCAAATTTGTTGAGTTTTCTTGCAGAAATCGCTTAATCCCCCCTCCATCCATTTTGTACGATCACTGGACGTGTTAGTGAGCCTAGCCTACTACAACCATAGATCCCGGCAAGATTATTTTGTAGTAGAATCAGTAGCTCAATAAATATTCCTCAAGATGAGACACCTCGGAAAATTTCAAATTTTAAAATGACGATTGTGGAGCCATTTCTGAAAAATATGTGACAAATCATACCTCATTCGAAGCGTCTTGTTATTCTTTAACTTTTTTATCACCAATGACCATTATTCAAGCAATACTGCGTTGATAAGAGGCCAAAATAGTGATATTTTATCGCCGGACTCTTGTCTGTCCAAATCTGAATGTTGCTCCCGTGGTTCCAGAAATGTGACGTCATCAGTACAATGATATTTGGACACACAAGAGTCCGGATCTCGTGAAAAATATTCGCCGTATTAAAAGTCAAATAACTGCATCCATAGGTTATTTACTCGAACCAAACAAGTAGAAATAGAAAGATGAAGATCTCAGCTATAAAATAAGTGCAAAATCTGTCACAGGGAAGCAGGTACCGTTTTGTATTAGGAACATTTTGAAAGGTGGTCAATTTTTTTGAAATTTTCCAATTTAGTGTCGTATCTTGTGAATTATTCTTTGAGCCTATGATCCTACTACAAAACAATCTGGCCAACATCTGTGACTACAACACACGATCTGACTGGCATTTCATTCTCTAAAATATATTAGAAAACTTATGCCAACCAATTTTTTATCAATTTTTTTTAGAAAAAATTATTCAAAACTGACGCTGACTGAAAAAGAATTTCCTTTCTACCACTTTGTGAACAATCTTAGAAGTTCAAATTTTCAATAATTATTCAATATACTTTCATGATTTATAGCTTACCGTCTGAATTGTTTGATTCGTCATACTTTTGACCACAGGTTCTGTTATAACACTGGAGAGACATTTTTCTTCACGAATTTTCTGGAACGGAAGTGGAAATTTATTCACCTCAATATTTTTTTAGTTATTATTAGCGTGCATACAGTGTATTTTGAAACCATGGCATCAAATAATTTAAATTCTCGTACTATTTTGTCAATTTTCTATTTTATAAGCCTGTATTGTCGATAAGTTTGAGTTAAAATGACAAGGAACTTGGTCACGTGATCACCGCCATATTTGTCGACTGCACGCAAAGTTTCAGGAAGTGTTTACATTTTCGTTAAATGTGTCATATTCGATAAAGTTGTATGAATAAAAGTTGAAATGGGTAAGTAAAGTAACATTTATTTTATCTACTACTGCTAATTTATATGACTTAAAACGAGGTACAAAGTCGAATATTTGTTTTGAAAACTGAAAACCTGACAAATTTGAAAGAATATTTTTTATTTTTTTCAAAAAAAAAGAATCATTGAATTCTTATTGATCAGTGTCTCATGGTGAACCTGGATTGGTCATTCAAGGACGTAAGTTCTTAACGACATGCTGATACCCTTATCGCATCCTACGACCCCTTTAGATTGTGGTCGTACGCGCGTATAATTGGTCAGTCAATGTTTTTACAAAGTTGGAGAAAATACTACGCATTGCGCACCTAAATGACCTACCTCGATACATTCCTTAGTATTTTAGAATTCTTTTTATGTTGTTAGATCGCCAATTGTATGGGTTTATCGGCAGAACGAAGAGAAGGGGAATTCCCCAGGGATTTCCCTTATGACTGGTGCATGCCGGGAACTGAATGGAGGAATTTGACGTTTGAAATAAGTTAATATTACACGCAAATATTGCTATCAAAAACGAAAACCTCGCGATTCAAGTTTTTGTTGTTCTTTAATGTACTTGTAATGATAGCAATTGCAAATGCACACGTGAAATAAAAACAGCAACTTCTCAGGAAGAGTTTGAAATTTTCAAGATTCTCAAATTTTGGGAAAATTTAAGTTCACTGTCACCTGTACTCTACTTGGTTAAAGTTAATCCATGACCATAAATGTATACTCAAAGAAGACACCAAGTTGACAGTCGATTAATCAACACTTGGAGGAAGTGTAAGTTGTCACACTATTTTTTGTGACTGAAAAATTTCCCTGCTCATTACCCTAATTTCCTGATTTTGTAGAGCTGGCATCAAATGTCGGAATGGTCGATTGTCAGTCGAATGCTCTCTGCGACACCCATGTCGACACAACGCCTCTTGATCGACAGGCGGAACTCAAGCTATTTCCCTATGAATTAAAATCTTTGTTACTACCTGCTGTATGGTATATTATAGTGAAGTTTTACCGCCTACATTTTCAATTTGTCTTTTTTGTTTTGATCGACTTCCTGCTCTTGAATTAGGTCTTGGTGCCCCTTGAGATTTACCCTCGAGCCGGAAATAACAACAGAAATCGTAGTTTTATGTCTATTTATTGCTTTTTCGTCAAAGTCTGATACTTAAACATGGTTTACCTGTAAGTTAAATATAAAACATACAACTGATGATGACTATTGTGTAGAGCTGGCATCAAATGTCGGAATGGTCGATTGTCAGTCGAATGCTCTCTGCGACACCCATGTCGACACAACGCCTCTTGATCGACAGTCGGAACTCACAACATAATAAGCCATTTCCCTATGAATTAAAATCTTTGTTACTACCTGCTGTATGGTGTATTTTAGTGAAGTTTTACCGCCTACATTTTCAAATTTTCTTTTTTGTTTTGATCGACTTCCTGCTCTCGAATTAGGTCTCGGGGCCCCTCGAGATTTACCCTCGAGATTTATTTTCAATGGCTGCCCGGAAATAACAACAGAAATCGTAGTTTTATGTCTATTTATTGCTTTTTCGTCAAAGTCTGATACTTGAACATGGTTTACCTGTAAGTTAAATATAAAACATACAACTGAGGATGACTATTGTGCATCACTGATCACTATCACTGATGTGCACACAGTTCTAATGAGCCTACATACGCCTTTTATGATAAATATGGTCTCAAGAAAACACAAAGTTCAATGCATTAGTTTTGATTATTTACATAACAAGATAATATAATATAACTATATTTATTTATGCTTTGGGTTAAACTTTTTTCATTTTTTTGATTCCCTCCACTTTGCACTCAATAGAGATTGGTTCTTCCAATATTGATATTCAAAAATTATTCCAGTATCCAGTATTTAATGGTTTCGGTCCACTTTAAATATATAATTTTTCGAGATGCTGTCTACTAAAGAGTACATGCTTCTGTTCATCTGCCTGTCTTGACAATAACTCAAATACTTATTGTCAGATTTTCAATTTTATATGCTAGTGTATTTTCTGTTAACAGTGGAAGCAGTGGTTGAATTTGATTACACTGCTGAGCAGGATGATGAACTGAGTCTTAAAGTTGGACAAAGGATCAAAAATGTCATCAAGCAAGAAGGAGGCTGGTGGGAGGGGGAATGCAATGGCAAAAAGGGCATGTTCCCAGATAACTTTGTCAAGGTAAGTTCTTAGTTTTGCTTAAACCAAAATAATTCATGAAGATTTCAAAGGTAAAATACATGTATATCAAGGATGTTTTAAGATCACACCAGGGACATTTAATTTCAAATCAAACCAGGTATCTAAGAGATTCTAACAGGAACAAGGAAGATCAGACCAGAGACATTTCTCTGGGACTGCAATGTATTAGATCAAATCAGGGGCATCTGAGATCAAATCATGTGCCTGCCTGAAAATAAACAAAAACATTATTAGGATCATATTTCCTGATAACTTATGAAACCTGCTATTGAAAGTAAGAATGAAACATAAGGCCGATAGCCTTTAAGTGGGCTAGAACATTAGATTTGTCAAGCTTATCATGGAAAGTACCATATTTAAATATCAGGTGTGTATACCGCTTGAGAATTATCTATTTTGAATCAGTTCAGATCTATTTTTGCAATAAAAAATAAGAACATTTTTCTGCTTTGATTGTTGAGGCTGCTATATTAGTCTTTAAATATCTAATAAGAATGCAAAATTGTACATTCATATTTGCCAGAAACACAGAACAGGAGTATACTAACTGGAAAGTGCCCTTTGCAAAATTACAATATTTTTTTATATGCTGTAGTCATCAAGCCCAATTCAATCACTGTCACCATCTGAGTCATCATTTATCATTTACTTGTCAAAACCATAAAGCCATTGGTCTGGGATAAAATATAATACTTCCTATTCCTATTCCTATCCTATTGGATTCATTTTGACAACAGACACATTTCAAAATAAATTGTCAAATTTAGACCCATATTTTCTGGACTCGGATTGACTGCATAATGCAGACTGAGTATGAGGATGAAATAGGTTAAACGTGTCATGAGAAGATACTAAAAATACGAGTGATTTGCCTTAATCCTCAATCATATGATCAGATGTAATTCATGTTTAGAATTGGCTGAATGTAAAATTAGCTCAAATAAGTCATTTTCTGAGATTATAAATAGGAAAAATATCATGTAAAAGTTTGTCATGATACATTACTCACAGTTACATTAGACAATGATACCATAGAAGATAAACATTTGCAGAAGGAAAATGGATACACAGGCTTGTAAAAAAATGAAGGTAAAAATGTAAAAAGATAAAGTATATAGAGATGTTTTATGAGAATTTATGAATGTATGTATTGAATACAAGTCTACTAAAATTGTTCTTTTCATCTTAAAAGGAATTTTATTATCATACTTAGTTTTACCTGGTAGAGCAGTATTCATGTTCTCTTCTGTATGATTCATTCCTCTTATGTTATTGCTAAATATTTTTCAAATAAAGAAAATTTTAGGATATCACATACATGTAGTTACTTGTAAATGATAAAGCACAGTAAAGAACATGAGAGACAAATTAAAATTAAGTAAAAATTGACTTTCCATAGCATATCAAAATAATGATGATAACAGGTTTAAACATAATTATGAAATGAATAAGATTGTTCAAAATGTGGCAATACATGCTTTGCTATATGTGAATCATATCGAAAGGAATCCATAATTCATTTTGATAGCATTCCAGGTAACTAAAACTGGGATAAAAATACTGAGATTGCTCAAGACAGGTGCTCACACATACAAGTTTTACTGTATCACATAAAATCTATCTTGCCACTCATCCCTATTTTTATTTGTATGTGTGTCGTGACTTGTGACACTTGGTTATTTTTAAACAAAAACACTATTGTGTTAGTTTGAATATTAAAAACACTGCTGGCTAAAAAAAAATCGTGAATCATTTTTTTATATTTATTTTACTTCCTGATACTTAACATATTATGTGATATCTGAATGCTGATTATTTTGGGCATAATTTGTTGACACATTATGACACTGAGGGGACCATTGTCTGTCAAGCATTGAATGCTACTTAGCCTCAGACTGTGTAATAGGGAATTTAAATGCAGTCGGCACCAGCAGTGAACAGAAAACATATTTATGATATATATGAAAGATAGAAATGTTGCTGTCGGCTACCAGATTAGCCTACTATTTCATGACCAACTCTATTAAATATGAATGAAATAGTGGCAGGTACTATTCATATGAGTTGAGTTGCCCATAAAATAGAAGTTGCATTCGCGAATACAAGCTTAATCTCAGTATCATGTCCAAGGTCACTGTTTATAGCATGTGTAAGGATTTAAATCTAACATATTAATTTTAGTTAGATATGTACATATTTGATATTGGTAAACATATACCAAGATAAATACATTGATTTAAATCTGTAAGTGGTCTGCTTATGAAGTAATACATTTTTATATACAAAACCCATGTTAGCATAGAGTTAAAGTCAATGGGAGAACATGTATTCACTAAATTAGTAGAGATATGTGATACAGATCACAGCTATATATAAGGGTGCTATAATAGAAGACTATTGTGTCCCATAGGAAGTTATTGAAGAATAAACACAATTACTGCATTGACATTATGAGTAATCATCAATATATCAGTAAGGTCAAAATGAACTACAGTGTACTATATGGTTATCTTTATTCATTATTTTAAAGAGAAAAATGTTACAATTGCCCAATCATTGTATTTATCTTTCAATCTTTCAATTGCAGCATCAATCAAAAATATCAAGTTTTTCCACCACCCAGGAAAAATGGAAATAACCCTGGTATTTTCAGTTACAATGATAAAACAATTTGTAGATAAATAATTCATTTTAATTCCAGGAAGTAGTTGCTAAGCCCAGTCCTCCACCAGCTCAACCTGATAAGAAACCAAGGGCAGAGTCGAAAAAGGAGACCCAGGGGAAGAACATAGCACAACTGAAACACCAAATCAATGTAAAGGGACCAATGCATTTTGGAGCTCCAATGCCTGTTAAGAAACGTGGTATGCTGATCTTCAGATATATCTGTTTAAACATGGAAATGTTATTTTTTCCAATTTCATTGATATTTTCATGAACCATTGCATTTGTATGGTTTATGAACCAATGCAATTGCATTTTGTATTAGCTTATAAACCAATTTGCATTTGTACTAGTGTATAAACCAATGCATTTACACTACGTTAAGTCCACAGTCCAGTTCCAGACAAGGAGAGACTAGAATATGGTTTTCAAATAATAAATAAAAGATAAGAGCATATTTGCTTATTTTCTTGCTAATCACAAGTGTACATCTTCAAAGTATCCTATAATTAGTATTTATTTCTAGTTTTTATGCCAGCACCACAAGTTGTGACATAGTCTCCAACTTTTTGTGAATATACTGGTCAGTGTCCGGCAGTTGGTTTTCAGTATCTGTAACAAATGGCAGGTAGTGAAATTATGCATGTTAATGTTTTGTCCATTTCTTGTTTTCTAATGCAGAATCCAGCCAGCACAAAAAGAATAAAAAGGCAAAGGTGACCTTTAGCTACACTCCTGAAAACGATGATGAGATAAAACTTGAACCTGGAGAAATTATAGAAATTTTAAAACAAGTAAGATTCAAAATTTTGAAAACATTTACAGTAAATTGATTAATTTTCTTGTTGCTACAATCAGATTAGTTGATTTGTTACAATTCAGACCTGAATTATTACACAAGACACATTTTATCAATACGTATAATACTACATGAGTGTAATATATCATATCTAATACACTCCTTGAGATTATTTGCACAGCTAGCTGGTGTCAATAGAGTTATATCATGTTATGTCATCTATGTACTATTAGTATTACAGTAAAATCTGTCTTATCTTCTATACATTGAGATTTTGAGACTATAATGGAAATTCCACAAAACACATATAGTAAAACCTGTCTTAGTGAACATCTCTCTCTAGTGAACACCTGTCTCTAGTAGGCACCCTTCCTCGCCTAAATATTCTACTGTTCTGACTTCTGTATGAATTACCCTCTCTGTAGTGAACACCTACCAACACTGAATGTTTTTCTTGGCAAAAATGTTCAATGTACATAGGTTTTACTGTACATGTTAATAGAGAATTGGCCCCTTTTCAATTATATGAGATAGCATCTGTAGATTATACTGAGTGAAAAATCTAACCCCTGGTGATCTAAAATATTGTCATTTTCTACTTACAGTAAAACCTGTCTTAGTAAACACCTCTCTCTCCATAGTGGACACCTGTGTTTAAAGAACACCACTTCAAGACACATTTAACATTGGCTCCTGTATAAAATCCCCTTGAAGTGAACACCTACCTACAGTGAACACTTGTTGCTCTGTAGGTGTTCACTATATACAGGTTTTACTTTAATGTTATTGCATATCAAAATAATAACAAATATTGAAACAGTAAGAAATGTGTTGGGCTTAAAATGAGTGGATGCTTTATTATACTAAGTAAACGTAAAATAACAAGAACATAAACACTTTTATAAAAACCGCCCTTTAAACGTTTGTACAATATATGTCGAATGAATTAATGAAGTACATGTACAGGGTGGGTGGGCATGGAAAAATTTTGTTCACTATGCCCCGCCTCTGACGGCTATTTCAAAAACTAGCAATATGTATGATGCGACATCTATCTCAAACATTACATTACATTAAAGTCAATTTGCAAGCAAATAACCATTAATGTTATTGCATATCAAAATAATAACAAATATTGAAACAGTAAGAAATGTGTTGGGCTTAAAATGAGCGGATGCTTTATTATACTAAGTAAACGTAAAATAACAAGAACATAAACACTTTTATAAAAACCGCCCAAAGATCGCCCAACAATTACTTACTTACTTACTACCACATCTCAATAATATTATACCCTTTAATATCAACATTCAGTTAATTTAGCTGATAACTTGCTCAAGTAGTCGACTGACGTACGCACATAACGTTGATAACATTGGCTAGACCACCTCCCCATGGCTTTTATCTCCCAGTCTTTCAGACCAACGTTGCCACCTGAAGTTGCTCCGCCAATTCTAAACGAATGGCCCGAGTACTTACTCGAGTCATACCCTAACATAGCCATGGATATTTTCACGTGATCTATGAAACAAGATCTGTTTAATGAACACCCATTAGTGAGCACAAACAAAGATTCATTATTATCACTTCTATGTTCTAAGTATTTTTCTGTCAAACAAACTGCGCAAAGCTGTTTTTGTGTACATCCTATCACTACATCTGAACCTTTACCTATTGAATCAGTTTTTGAGATACTCAGTTTAACTATCATATGTTTGTCAACTTTATCTTCTGCCTTTATTATTGTAAAATTTTGTTCACTATGCCCCGCCTCTGACGGCTATTTCAAAAACTAGCAATATGTATGATGCGACATCTATCTCAAACATTACATTACATTAAAGTCAATTTGCAAGCAAATAACCAGTATTTTGCTTTATACCATATTTAGGGATGTTCATGTACATGTATATTTGGTTCCTTTTGGGATTATTGCATGAAAACTTTTTATAATTTCTCACATAAGATAAACAGAGTTGAATGATTGTTTCTATTTTGCTTTTTACATCAAGATTAAAAGGAAGATTCATTTGCTTTCATTTCTGATCTGAATTATTCCAGGAGGGCTGGTGGGAAGGGATATCAACTGAAGGCAAGCAAGGTGTCTTCCCATCAAGTTTTGTATTATTGATCCGAATTATTCTAGGAGGAGGAAGGATGGTGGGAAGGGATATCAACTGAGGGCAAGCAAGGTGTCTTCCCATCAAGTTTTGTATTATTGATCTGAATTATTCCAGGAGGAGGAAGGATGGTGGGAAGGGATATCAACTGAGGGCAAGCAAGGTGTCTTCCCATCAAGTTTTGTATTATTGATCTGAATTATTCCAGGAGGGCTGGTGGGAAGGGATATCAACTGATGGCAAGCAAGGTGTCTTCCCATCAAGTTTTGTATTATTGATCTGAATTATTCTAGGAGGAGGAAGGATGGTGGGAAGGGATATCAACTGAGGGCAAGCAAGGTGTCTTCCCATCAAACTTTGTAGAGATAATTGAGGAAGAGGTGGAAGAAGAATCTCCTGTGACCTCCACTTCACCCAGTAAGTTTAAATTTTAGGTTAATTTAAGTTGATTTATTCATAACCCCCCTCCCCCTCTCCCCATCTCAAATGTTATGTTTTTCTCATATAACTAAGAGTCAAACATCTCTACCCCATTAAAATACAAACATCTATCACAACATTATATTACAAACTTGTATTGTTTATAAACAACAATATTGTTAAGACAGCCTTGCTAGCTTGCAACCATTCAGCCTATTGTCTTCAAATTGTTCTGTTACACAAACATCACCCCTCTTCAAGTTTTCTGTTAACACAGACACTGAACCTCCTTCCTTTGCTGTTAAGACACCTACCACTCCTTGAAGGTATTCTGAAGTATTTCTTTTCACTTTCAAGGATAAAACAGAATTTAAAGCAAAGTTTATTCTAAAGATTCAGGATGTAAGAACTGTATAAATCGATTGCAACTTAATATGTTTATCTCTAATATATTGCACTGCAGGAAGGAAATATAACAGGGAAGAGAAAACATAGATAAAGTAGGCCTTCTATTTCAAGTTCCTTGACATAATAGTTAAATGCTTTTGACATTCAACTTATTGTGTATTTCCAAATTGATAAAATTGCTTCAAAACAATAGCACTGTCTCTCAACCCTTAAACAGTTTGGCTATGGAGAATGATGCCAATAGTTAGGGGGGCCCCATGATCTCAGAAACGATCAATCATAGGAGGGTGTATTAGGTATAATTGGAAAAATTATTCAATTCCCAGTATTTTGAGCTTACTCATAACTACCGTTTCAAGTCAAAACTACTGACAATTTGGGTATTTCAGTAACTTTGGCAAGCTCTAAATTTCCTCCTAGGGGGGGTTAGGGTCACATTTTCTTCACTTAAACATGCCTAATACAATTTTAAGAAAAGCCTGAAAATTTTAAATCAAAAGACAAACTACAACATAAGTTAGGGGGAGGGGGGGGGGCAGAACGGCAGAATTGCTTTGAAATTCCACTATTGTATACTAGTAATGACATTTGTCACATATGCCTCAAATGCCAGTGAAAAAATCTACAAACCACTATAAACAATATAAACCTCTTTATAAATAAATCACTATAAGAAAGATATTTCCTATGTAATTGCAGCTCCCGATTCCAGTGAAGAGATCAAAGGGAAGCCTGTTAAGGGCATAGGGTTTGGCAACATCTTCAGTGGAGGTCAAGTAAAACTACGTAGTGCTGGCAATAAGGAAACCAAGGAAAAAGCCAAGGAAGTAAAAGTATGTAACTTTTCATCACAATATGAACATGTAGACTAATGTAGAACATGATTGACTTCTAATCTCCTCAGTTGAGCAACATTCAAATAGATTGACAAGCATATAAGTTGAGCATTTTTGCCGTTACTTTTTTACAGTGTGGACAAATTGTCCTAAGATTGCTTATTTCAGCAGTGCATTGACTACAGCATTTGGATCAATGGTTTGAACTGTTTACCGAAAGTGTGCAAACAAATTTTACCAATTAATTCCTATTTCCCTTACTGTAATGTCTTTTTATGTCACCACCAAGAAGTTGTGACATTTTGTTATAGTCACCAATCACCATTTTTTGTGACTGACATTTGGTGTTTGGTGTTTGAAGTCCACCCGTTATGGCTCAGTTGCAGAGTCAAGGTTACCAATATCGCTTGGCCCCGGGTTCGATTCCCGGTTCAGACAAGTTTGTTTGTGCGTTATGTAATTCTGGGTGTTTGACTGAGTGGTTCACGACTCGTATAAAAGGCTGTGGTGTGTACCTGTATGTCTGTGTACCTGTGCACACAAAAGAACACAGGGCTCCTCCAAGGAGGGGTTTCTGAATCTGTCTTCAAGTGTAAAATACATAAAATATGGAATATACCAATGAGGTATTGCTCGCCAAATATGGCGGTAACCAAGATATAATAATAATTACTGTCAGCATTTAGCGTGCAACACCTGTAGCTTCACAAGTGGTTAAACTTTGTTATTATAACTTTGTGATAACGATTTGTCATGTTAATGTCATTATTTTATTTAGACCCCTGCTCAAACACCAAAGAAAACAGTCCCCCCAATGCCAGAGGACCCTCCTCCCCAGATGCCACATAAAGACAACAAACCTGGTAAGAATATTCTCCTTTTTGTGAAAATCTAGTCTCTTTAGGGAACTGATTTGCGTCTTCAATAAAATCATGATCGCTTTTGTTTTCAAGAGTAGGTTGGTGTTTTAGTTATGTAGAATGAAAGCAAAATTTTGGAGAAGATCTACAGCCAGTCTCTTTGCTTTCTCACTTTTTTTGTACATATTTCATAGTCTATCAAACTGTGAACAATTCCAGTAAATCATGCCAGATGCTAGGAATGTTGAAATTGGTACAGTTGTACTGCAAAAGTGGATTTACATATTTCAAGTTTTTTAAAGTCATAGGATTTCGTTGGGAAATGTTGAACCTTGAAACTATGGCATCAGGAATGCAGCCAATTTGCTATGCTTTCTTTCAACAAGCAAAAAACATCATAACTGGAAACCTATTGAGAATGAAATTATTTTGATGCATATTAACTCCAGAAGTTTCTCAGAGACTATTTGTTAAACTGATGAAAAGTAAAACAAGTAACAAGAATGATTAGATAGGGTGTTTGGTGTTGTTCTTAAATCATTACTTCATTATTCTGTAGTTGTAGTGCTTTATACCTTTTAACATGCATGTTCTTAATTTTCTTACAACTTTCATAATTTCTCAGAACGACTTTACACATTTTCTATATATCTTGAATATAGGGATCTGGAATTTATATCTAGATAATGAACATTTTCTTATAACTTTTGTAATTTCTGAGAACGATTTTACACATTTTTAATTATCGGGGATCTGGAATTTATATCGTGATAATGAACATTTCTTTTCGAGGGGATTTTGTTAAGAAATAAGTTCACTCCTCAACTATTGGGGTAGTTGGCCAACACTCATATGTTTTGTAGAAATTAAACTGTTATGTGTAATTCCTCCAAATTTAACAACATGAGTTTGAAGATCATCTACGTGAAATATGAATCTGATGTCAAATGAATTTTTATGAGAATGAACACTTTTTAGGACAACCGTCATATGAGAAATTATAAGAAAATATGAGGAATTATGAAACTTATAAAGGGTGATTCAGATTGTGGTTCAAGATTATATGATGATACTGGAATGAAGATTCTAGTATGATTAATCATGTGCCATGATTTGTGTAAGAGGTCATGTTATGGTATCAATGTTTCATTATATCCTCAACTCAACAACATATATGGAAGATCAAAATGCAGTATTATTTAGATACTCCAAATTCTAAAATTCTGCATGTTCCAAACATATTTTCAATTAAAAACCTCCAAAACAATATCTGTTTTAAATTAAGTTACATTGATATTATGATATCATCCCTTACAGCCCTAAATCTTAACTAGCTTAATCCTATCTTGAATTCCTCCTCTCTCCTCCTCTAGCATGTATCTCCCCAGACCCTGTACAGATAACTCGCAAAGTCTACACAGAGCCCCACGCTTGTACCTCTACACCTATCTACCAACAGCACTCAGGAGATCACCTTTATACTGACTCTAAAACTCATGTACTCTATCAGTGCTCCATAGGAGAGCACAGTCCTTACATTGACTCTAAAAAACAGGAACGTTTTAACTCATATGTGTATGCTTCATATCCTGAGGCTGGGGACTCTACTATAAAACATGAGGACTCTACTGACAGTGATCAGTTAGAAGATGATGTATTTTACGAGCCTGGTGAACTTGAGAAACTGACAAATAGTATATTCAATGAGCTTAAACAGTTAGGTCAGGGTGATCTTGGTCAATTTCAAATACCTGATATTATTGTTACCAATGTAGATGGTGTAATTGGAGGTGGTCATTGTATGAATATTGAGTATATTAAATCTGATCATGCTGATAAGATTTTCCATGGTTTTCAAAGTCCACATTTCGACAACCTTTGTGTGCCCATTGATTCAGATGGTCCCTATGCTAAAAGACCCAAAATGCAAAATATTGAAGTTATGAGGGGTCCCCCTATGCAATTTACCAGTTCATCTGGTTTTCTTCAACAAGGGACTTCGGCTGGTTATATCTCCCCTGGTGAGAATGGGCCAGCATATTCATCATTGAGCAGCTCCGATTCAGCATCACCAGGGACTGTAATCTCAATTCAGGATAACAGCCCAAGGAAACGCTCTCGTTTATTTATGTCACCAGATACTGAACAAGCCATAAAACTTGAGGAGGAAGCTCGTATCAGTCCCTTAGGTGATGTCAGACAGACTCCACCACCCAAAATGACATTCAGAAAGAAGCGCTCAACTAGTATCAAATATGTAGGTACTAAGGCCAAGGATGCTCGATCAAGCACTCCAGATAAGCGAGAATCAAGAAGTCATGATAAAAGCTCAATGAATGAACCAGAAGTAAGTCCTATTGCATTCACAGCTGTTCCAGATGGTTCACAACTTGAACAAAAATATGGGAGAAAAAAGAAACGAAGATTTAGGAGTTCTTGGTCTGCCTCAAAGTTTGTGGAGAGATTTAGAATCAAAACACAAACAAAAAGTGCCCCTAGCCTTATTTTGCCTGAGGAAAAGCCAACATCAACCTGCAAGTATCAAAGCCCAGAGGAGAATAGTCAGACATCACTTCAACCAGCATTGGATGTTCCTATTGCTTGTAAAAACTCCTCTACTCAATCGACAGGGAGTCATAAGAAACTGGTCACATTCAACAATAGATCTGGAGCTTCTGATAATATAAATCAACAGAATGATGTTCCTGAAATTGGTGACGAGTTTGATGATTTGGACTTTGTTAAGGCTCCTAGTAGAAAGACCAGATTAAGACCATTCAGAAGATCTAAGCTCTTACACCCCCAAGAGCTGACTGATAGTGTTCTACTGGCCAAGAAGCGACTTTCACAGTCTCCTATTAGGCCAGATCATTCTATAGAAGCAACTGAAGGTTTGACAGTAGAGTATATCAACAACATCGAGGAGGAACAACCAAAGGAGGATGAAAATGAGGATATGACTGTTGTTGAAGGTAATGTAGATGTTGATGATAAGGAACAGAATGAGCCAATTGAACAACTGTTGAGACCTGAGTCAAGTATGTCCATCTCATCAAGGATTATTTCCTTCCTTTCTCACCCATTGGGAAGGTCATTAAGAGTTGGAGCTGGGGAAAGACCAGTGACAAGAAAACGTTCATTCTTAGAAAGAGCCTTCAGAAGACCTACAGCAAAAACACAAGATGATACTCCTTGGGTTAAAGAAGAATGGAAAAATGGAATACAAGGTTTTACTATCAATATGGATCTGGTGAAAAAGCACACACCATCAGCTGCATCCTTTCATTCTACAACTGAAGACTTAACCCAACCAGAATCAACTATTGATGAACAAGAAGACACTATTGCCAACACTCCAGTTGCTCCGAGTGAGACCAAGGTTGACTATGCTGACCAATCCACCATGTTACATTCCTATGTCTCTGATAACACTCCACATGGTACCAACAATAACACTCCCGCATCTGTCATATATCCAAGACCAACAGATTTCAAAGAGGGCTTAGAACGAGAAACACGATTTACAAATGCCATGAGAGCAAAATCTGCGGATGATCCAATCCCAACAAGTCAGAAAGCAGATACAATTTCTAAGCTTTACAGAGACAAGCCATCATATGAGTCAAGAAGGCGGCTTCTTGAAGCTAGGAAAGAGTTCTTTAGCCCAATGATAACCCCGGTTCCTACCCCTGTCAAAGAGGAATTCCAGCGAGAAACTGTATCCTTAGATAGAACATCAGCATCATTCAAGAAGGTCTTAGATTATATTAACACACAAAAACCTACATGCGAAGATGAGAAGGACTTGACCCCAGTTAATAAAGCTCTTAAACATACTGATCCATTACAGATACCTCTCAATGCACCAGCAAGGCCCATAATGTCTGATGATGACTTCAAAAAGTATGAACGGGCATTTAAGAATGATGATACCATGTTAAGTGACAGGTCAAACAAATCAAATGCCTCCAAAAAACGATACAGTGGAGTGGATATGTTGATTCCAAGTGACGAGGAAGATGGATTTTTGTCTGCACGTCAACCTACTGCAGAAGCTGAATCTCTCCCACCACAGGTAGAATCGGCAATGCAGGTTAATCTGAGGAAAAGGAAATCATTAAGAGATGTTCTTAAAAAATGGACACCACGTAAGCTGAGGAAACGATTACATAGAAACAAGAAACAGCCAGCTGCCTTAATGGAAGTTCAAAACATCAAGAGTTCACCTGCTGTAGCCCCACAGGGATTTGTATCACCAGATGAATCCAAATCACCTCTGAAAGAAATCCAAGTGATGTCAGTACAGGTAGAAAGCCTCCCCCAGGGCTCATCTGCCCATTCTTCCGCCAACAGTTTCAGAGATACCAGATTCAGGTGTAGGAATCCGAGTGGCAAGGAAAGTATTGATGGATATGATTATGTTGACAGTGCTCAGAAACAAGAAAGTGAATCTCTAACCAATTATCTGAGTTACGATGAACATAGTACTGGTGGTGGAAGTGGCGTTGGTGGAACAATCCAGGGAAAATTCAGGCATAAAAGTGGAGGAAGTGATAAATATACACCAAATGCAGCTACAAAATTCATCTATACACCTACTTTCAAAACAAATAAAGAACAAACAAAATCTACCCAAAAACCACAAAGAATTCCAAGCTATATTTACAAATCTTTAGGAGATAAAGGAAAAGTTGAGCATGTTGAGTCAAAAACAGAGATGACTCCACAGAGAATCCCAAGCTATATATATAGGTCACCAGGGTATGTTATGAAGGAATTCAAATTGAAAGCAATGGGAGGTTCTGGAACCCTTCTGCCACAACTCCATACTCCTAAAGTCCACAAACATGAGTCTAATGACAATGTCCCAGAACCCATAAAATCTACGGAAACCAAGCACACACCAAAAGGAGAAGCCAAAGAATTGATGGAAGATATTTGGGCAAAGGTTGGGGAAGAGATTAGATCATTTAGTTTCAGTAAAGATGATTCAGCATCTGATTCCATAAGGAAAAGCATGGAAGATGAAAATGTCCAAGATGAAATCATTGCTAGGGAAGAAATAAAGGTGAAATCTCCTGATAGTTTATTCAACAAATGTACACATCTTATCTCCAAAGATATCCTGGACCAACACACACCTATAAGACGAGACCCAGATCAAGTGCTCAGCAATACAAGCATTGGCACTTTGTCTAATGAAGGTCTAGTGTTAGATGCACCCCTGTTCTCCAACTATAACACCCCAGTTGACTCAGCGACTCCATTAAAGCAGGATGATAGTGTTTTCACAACCAAGACAACAGAGTTATTAAAAAATATAACCACCCCTAATGTTGATTTTTATAACATTGCCAACTGGGAGGTTTCTTCATCGGATGGCTCTCAACTGACCACACCACATACAACTCCAAGATCACCTACTAGACTTATGCCACATATGACAGAAGCAATCTTAGCTGACCACAATGACCTTGTGTATGCCACACCAACCAAATATACATTAAAGGATAATGATATCAAATTGCGAAGTGTTCCCAAAGAGGAGGAAGGAGCAGTGAAACGAACACCACTCAAGACTCAACCTACCATTGATGATGCAATTGATGGTAGCCTCGATACATCTGAGTTGATTGATCAGTTTGTCTGTGAAACCCTCACTAAAACTTCTGGTGAACTGATACAGGAACCTGAAAATACAGTCAGTCCACTCAGTAGAGAACAAACCTTAGTTTGTGAAGAAAGAATAAATGCGACCAATGATGATGCAATTGACACTAGGCTCAACACATCTGAGTTGATTGATCAGTTTGTCTGTGAAACCCTCTCTAAAGTTTCTGGTGAACTGATACGGGAACCTGAAAATACAGTCAGGCCACTCAATAGAGAACAAACCTTAGTTTATGAAGAAAGAATAAATGCGACCAATGATGATGCAATTGACACTAGCCTCAACACATCTGAGTTGACTGATCAGTTTGTCTGTGAAACCCTCTCTAAAGTGTCTGGTGACCTTATACAGGAACCAGAAAATACAGTCAGTCCACTCAGTAGTGAACAAGCCTTATTGAATCAAGAAAGAATAAATGCTACTAGCAATGATGCAATTGACACTAGCCTCAACACATCTGAGTTGACTGATCAGTTAGTCTGTGAAACCCTCTCTAAAGCTACTGATGAACTAATAGAAGAACTAGAGAATACAATCAGACCACTCAGTAGAGAACAAGCCTGTGTGTATAAAGAAAGAATAAATGCTTTCTTCACAGGGTTAGATTACAAAGTTGACAAAACCAACCTGGAAAAGGAGACACATCATGCGAAGATAAGTGCCCTTGAGTTTCAAAAACGGGCTCAGTATCTTCACAACCTTCTCATAAAGCAAGAGGAGGAAGATGCCAAGGGCAATGAAGATAAAAAGGATGAGCTTCAGGAGTCATTTAAAGATGAATTAGAGAGCTCTACGAGTGATCTAAATGCTACAGGGGAGACGATCGCGACACCAAGTAAGGAAACAGGGATTTGGTTGAAACATTCCCTTGATAGAACACCAAGCTATCTCCATAATAGCACCATGGAGGAAACGGAGGATATCAGCAATGTGGCTGTACAGGGAAGCTTCCTTGCTAATGATAGTAGACTGTTTGATGATGCCAACTGCACCATACCTGATAACAGTGAGCCTGCTGTATCAGCCAGTAACTCTGGCTCTAGTGTTAACTGTCGACAAATCTCATCTTTATCTGTATCAGAAGGGACATATTATACAGCCTCTGAGGCTTATGTTACATACTCTGAATGTGAGTTAACAACTGCATCTGAAGGTTGGAGCTCGGCTACATTATGTACAGATACGGATTCAAAAACCAGTAGTCACTCAATTGTGACAAACCTAACCAATATACCAGGAGTTGGCATCAAAGATGAACTTCTGACAAAAGATTCAGACCCACCTAGAAGTGAATCTGAATTATCTGAGGTATCAAGAGGAGTTGATATTGCATATGATACAGATGATGCCTATGGTGATGTTGATACTGCAGTGTCCAACACATCAAGTGAGTGTCCAGATGATCTCTCAACAGCTTCAAGGTTCTCTGAACAACTTGAAGAGTTTGTTCAAGATATCATACATAAGTGTTATATACGGGTCAAAGAGGAAGAAAGCGAGAACATGGCAGATGTTTCTAAAGAAGATGATGTGGTTTATGTATAGGTTGAAATGTAGATGTACAAGATATCATACAGAAGTGTTATGTACAGGTCAAAGACGAGGAAAGCGAGAACATGTCAGATGTGACTAAAGAAGAGGATGTGGTTTATGTATAGGTTGAAATGTAGATGTACAGGATATTATTCATTGGTGTTATGTTAGGACTAAAGCGAAAAGGAATGAAATTATAGATGTTGCGAAGGAATCGATTGATTCTGTAGGATGTGTAGGTGACATACTAAGGGGATTGATCAGATCAATGGTGATTCTTTTAGTGTTTAGTATTTCATGTTTTCTAAGATTTAGTAAATTATGTGATTGACATGAATGGCTGAAAACCTAAATTATTATGTGCCACATGCCATAGTGCGATCAAAGACACAACCTGTAGAGGACAGTACAGTAAACAGTGCCATATCATTCATTACAATGTAAATATGTTGAGTATTTCTATTAAGTGAAGATGTGTAGAAGGTCCTGGGGTTGATTGTGAAGAGAAAGAGATAATGATTATGTTATGAAATGAAATGGAACTTTGTTTGATAGAAGTTGAACTCGGGTAATCTTAACATTTAATAGTTGATCTTTGGAGACCTCCAGATTGGATCTCATAAGATTGAAACTTTGACATTTACTTGATCTTTTGGGATATTAAGACATTTTGAATCAAATTGAAACTTAATTAAAGCAATTGAACATTTCTATGATTGCTGTACAGTACAGTGTATGATGTTATTGTATTGTACACCAATACTAATAAGTCATGACATTGATATTTACATACTACTACATGACAGTATCTCCAAAACTTAGAAAGGCCAAAAGTCAAGATGTTCTATTTACCTTGTACTCAACAGTAAGTGGGCAGGAATGCTCTTCAGATGAGGTAATAACAATGTAAAGGTCAGCTAAGCACTAAGCCTCAGTATTTCCTTAATGCTCCGATGAGTGCACGTATCCATTGAAAAATTGAAAACACTGGTGATGACATCATAGAAGAATATGATGCTCTCTACAATAAGGCTAAGATAAATGGACACAACATTTCTAGCTCAAATAATAAAGTTAGAGCTATTTGAAGATTGTTGTCTTAATTAGTGTTGTCGCGATGTGCCATAATCGTACATCGATGCATCGGCAATTTTCAGTAGTAAACATCGATGCACATCGCGATGTACATCGAGAAAAAGTCCGAAAAAAGTGCACTGAAATACCGAACGCTAATGCACTAAAATACCGAACAGAACAAATTAATAAGACTACGCTGGTACATCAGGGAACTTTTAGTAACGGTGAAATGAAAGTAAAGTAATTTTTTTAGATTAATGGTTCATTTCGACTAGCTGAAACAGTTTTAAAGCGAAAGAATATCAGAAACATCAAGGAAAATGCAATAAGACATGAGAAAGGTAAGCGATTGGCGTCAAAATAAGATAAGAAATGGTGATTTTTAGCAAATTAAATTTTTTTTAAAACATCGATGTTTTGTTTCAGACATCGATGCATCGCCAGAATCAGCTTTGGCGATGTATATCGCGATGTATCGATTAATCGCGACAACACTAGTCTTAATGTCTTTGTAATATATCGATTAATCTATTGAGGAGGTTTGACCAGTCAATAAAGAGTTAATGGCGGGGGGGGGGTATACTATTAGAAGGTATTGGAGTCTTAAAAAGTTATATCAATAGCCAGATAGATAAGGTATTTCAAAGTAAGGTATTAAATCTACAGTGATATCTGAAAAACTACCCCTCTTTAATTTATCATCTATAAGGAATATTGCCCCAGAGGAACATTTGATGCAGAACATAAATTGTTTATGTGGTAGGGGCCAAACTATTTCCATGGTCATTCCCAGAACTTGTAATATATTTGTGTATTATAAATGGATGTTAGGATCACTCAGGAATTTAAGGATATATTTTCTCATATACATGTATATATATGTTATAAGTCTCAATTGTTTAAACTGATAAATGATATATTGTTGAAGTTTCAAGTTCAGTTAGGGATAACATCCAATTATCAACAGTTATGGAATAACAAAGTTACTTTTGTTAGAGGTGGGGGGGGGGGTAAATGATGCTTTCATTAGCGAATTGTGTTGATCTTTTAATATTCAAGTGAAAGACAAATCAACATTTTAAAATTTCATTAGATGAGGAGAGGGGGGTCAAACTAAATTGAAATTAATTTAGTTTACCCATGCCTGTTGATTATTGGACATCATTCCTTATAATTATACAGATTATACTGGTATTTGTATATGATGAAAATATCATTGACAAATATGAAATTATGACAATAAAAATATGATTACACTGTTAACTTTGTGTATAATCATCTTATAGTGTATCAACACATGTTTAAAAGTTCATTTCATCTACCTACCGTATAATGTATTTTATATTGTTATATCAGTTTGTATAAATGTTAGTATAACTTAAGTGTAAAGTTCAGAGATACAGACAAGCTGTTATTCTGCACAATAGTTCATATAAATGATATGTAAACTTGTTAATTACCCTGTTGTTTAGTGTTACATATGAAATAAACAAATGTGATAAATAGCATTGTATACTTATCAGCTTTGGTTCAACAGCTGTAGAAGGAGGAAAATATGTTACATGAGCACAAATGTTGAAATCATTTAATATTGGGGGCATCTCAATGTTGAACTCATGAATAGGGAAAAAGCTCGCTTAGGTTCCTCTGTTTGGAGGAGTTTTCTCTGTATTATTTTAATCTCTTTATTACCTGTCTTTAAATCAATGACTGTCAAGCTTGTGTGTTAATTCTCAATCTCTCTCCCTAGTCTTGTTGTAAAGTGGAGTAAACCTGTAAAGTGGAACACCTCCCTAGTGGAGCACTATTTTAAGCCCTTGAAGACATTCTAATTTCATAGGCTTTACTCTTCTGAAGAAGACTGGGATATAGTTTGAGAATGCTACATTTGTCAATAATATAATCTAGATATTTCATAAACTTACAAACATGTCATGAGGATTATATTTTATGTATATCCAGATCACTCTTAAATCCACTTTGATGATCTAGTTTATCACACATTTCCAAATCTTCATATTTGTATTTTTCATCGAGCTTTTGAATTTGTGAACACATTCTCTTTATAACATATCTATTATCACCCTTATGGCCCTTTATATTTTCCAATTCCAAAATTAAGAATTAAAAAATATATAGATGATGTGAACTTTTCCGATTGCCCCTCTCTAATTAGTAATCAATTATAGACATAAATAATAATTTCTTTGTTCCGTGTTCTATGGTATCAATACATATGACATTTAGTGCCTCAGTATAAGACGAGGATTACAAAAACATCAAGTCAACCTGTTCACCTTGTTGAAACAATTATTAAAAATATTGATCTATACCAGTATGAAACCTGAAGTTAAGTTTTTCAAAAGTTCAGACAAGGCAAGCGTTATTGCTCCAAACCCTTCTGAAAGAACAACTGGCTTTTATGAAATCAATCAAATGATTTCAAATGAAATAGAAACTCAAATTGCGGAGATTGCTCAAGAGGCTTATAAGGAAGTTAAACTTGAGCGTGGTAATGCAATAAGGCGTAAAGGTAAGTCGATGAGGAGCCTGTTCTTGAAACTATTGTAATAAAAACAATTCCTAATTCTTCAGCATTAGGAAGAGGACCAGCCAATAAAATTCACTAGAAGACACTAGAAGTGACATCTAGAAAGAAATGAGCTTTGAAAACTCATGTCATTTAAGTTTTCATTTGATGTATAACTCATATGCTAGATAAATAGGGGATTTCCTATGATTTTTGAGGGATATCATTTTTATCCATGACTGGATATCAACCATCTCCACGAGTGAGTGCAGCAAGAGAGTAGATACACAATATCCATGAGTGGATAAAAATGATAGCACGAGTAGAGGAAACAATGAGCAGTAACAGAAATTTGCAAAATTGTCATGGAATTAGTAATAATCTTCAATATTGTGAAAATTGCTGCCCAGCATGTCATCAGGATATAGGTACATGTTTAATATATATCATATAATTACTAACATAAGTTATACATCAGACGTGTTTATTTGCTTATCTGAGACCATAATGTCATTTTATCATGCTGAAAACAAAGTTTTCCAGCAAGGAGTGTTGATCAGATTCAACTTTAAAAATTGATATAATGTACAATGTATTTAAAGTGCTGATAAGTTCAAATGAACATGGATGTTATGTATAAACTTATAAAGGGGACTGTTCAATAAAACCTATTGTAAACTCCAACAGGGTAGGATGGACAAAAAGTCTAGCTTTCAATTCTGTAAAAAAATTCAGTTAAACCTGTCTTAGTGAACACCTGTGTCGAGTGAACACCCTTCTCAGTATACTCCACCAACTTCTGTATAAAATCATCTCCCTGTAGTGAACCTGAGTTAACACATTTTGGTGGCTCCATAGGCATTCACTGTACACAGGTTTTACTGTAGTAGTATATATTGTCGTAGTAGATTCACAAAATGTTATGATTTTATAGAGGTGCTCTGTCGTTGTTGGTTTTATTGTATTGCATTCCCCTGGTGCTTTTAATGTTTTGTATAAAAAGTCATATAGGTCATTCATGTTTTATTTCTCTTACTTGATAACACTTTAATGCATTTTTGGGGTATTTTGTATAATAAAGAAAAATGTTAGTTTTAGTTTTGATGTGCCATGTACAACATGACCAGCTTGACATTTTATACATAATTAATTATGCGCGTAATCAGTATCATTAATTATGCGCATAATCAGTGGCTTTTACCAATGTTAAATGTTATGATTCTTGTTACTTGTTTCAAAATGCTAAGTTTTATTATTTCAACAACAAAATCGAATGTTTTCAAATTATATATTTTCAATAACACAAAACATATCATTTTGATGATAGCAAAATAATCAATTTTAGACAAAAAATTAATATCTTGAAAAATGACACATTATGTACTTTCATTATAATTTTATAGTACTATTAAATGCTTTGAAATAATGAGTGTAAGATAAAATTAAAAAAAATATCTGTCAGTCACCTTAAAGGCTCTAGTTCATTAAAAATTACAGTATACTTAAAGGACCTTGCATGCTATAAACCATGCCCATGCGTATTTATCCACGAAATCTCTTGTTTCAGTTGAGAAAGCCAAAGTATTGTACGACTACACCGCTGAGAATGATGATGAGCTATCTCTGGAAGAAGGAGAGGTGATAGTTGTCTTAGATAAAGAGCTGGAAGATAGTGGCTGGTGGAAGGGGGAACTTAGAGGAAAAGTTGGAGTGTTTCCCGATAACTTTGTAGAACTTATTCCTATAGAAGAGGTGAGTGAATGTATTTTGGGAACTAACCCAATAGATAAACAAAATACCCATAAGCACCTAGGTATCATTTTAGATCAAAAACTAACCTTTAAAGAGCATATTAATGAATTAATAAAACAGTCTCAAGCTCTGCTAAACCCTTTTAAAAGGTTGACTCATGTTTTAAGATCTAAACACTTAGAAACCATTTATAATGCCTTCATTTTGAGTCGAATTGACTATGGTGATATCTTATATTCTAGTGCTCCTGAATTATCTTTGATGAAGTTAAACAGACTTCAATATAATGCAGCTTGTTTGATAACTGGCGCTTTGCATGGCTCTAGCACTGAGAAGGTGTTAGATATTTTAAATTGGACAAAGTTACCAGATAGAAGAAAATCTCATTTATGTACTTTTCTTTTCAAAAGCAGACATAATTTAATAGCACCATATGTAAGTCAAGTTTTCAATGGTTGCAGAAATATTCCAACTCGAACTCTAAGAGCTTTCAGAGAATACAATATTCCTTTAGATATAAGTAAAAGGTTTGAGAAATCTACTTTCTATGCAGCAATTGAAACTTGGAATACTTTACCTGATGATATAAGAAATTGTGAGCGAATTTCAATTTTTAAACGTAGGATCAAGGTACATTTTGAAAATTTCAATGGTACTTTTTTCATAAGTTATAGTAATGTTAAAAGAAAAAATGAAGTCTCATTTAATAGACTCAGAGTAGATCTTTATTTGAAAAGCCAGCTTTTTGCACATAATTTTAACAATGTACCTTCACCAGAATGTGCCTGTGGTCATCGCTCTGAAACACCAAAACACTTTTTTCTACAGTGCCCTCTATACATGAACCCAAGATGTCAACTCCTTAGAGATCTCCATATGGCGGATTGCTTAAGTGCATTTTTAGATTGTAATTCTTCTGATAAAATAGACATGCTTTTATTTGGTCACCCTGATTTTGATCATAATACTAATATTTTAATAATCAAAGCAAGTGTGTCATTTTTGCAATCCACCAAAGATAGGACCTGAGAGTATAAATGAGAAGACAATCATCTTAAATAATATGCTATGTATTTTTAAAAGGTATGTTTATTTGTGCAAATATTCTATGCTAAAACCAACACTTAAAGGTTTTATAAGTAATGTGAAGGAATATTTTATTATGGACAAACGGGTTGGCAGAGGCGATAAGTGGAAAATCATGGAAACAAAATTAAACAAATGAAACTGATGATTTTTTCCTTTAAATAAAAAAATGCCAATGGTATAACGTCTCTTAAGACGAAATATTTAACCACTGTACTGTATTGTAAAATTGTTAAATGTAGGTTTACCATGTAACTGTACTGTAATTGTTTTTTTGCAATTGCTTTAACATGCTTATTCTTTGAAATAAAAAAATTATAAAAAAAAAAAAAAAAAAAAAAAGACCTACTGGACCCGTAACCAAACTCCACACATTAAGCACACAACTTGACCATTTTAAATAAAATAATGAATCTTTCTTTTTAAAGTAAAAATTATGAATGTAACTACATTAAAGTTTTCAGTTTGACAATAATGTTACTCGTAACCTTGTCAAACGTTATTATTGTATTATTGTATGTATAGTATATATTTGAAATAAATGATTATTAAAAAAATGTATTTTGTTTATATTATTTGGTTATTTTATGTTAACGCGCAAGATGGAGCTTCATTACATTGCCTATGTCAATTTCTTTCCATAGTTTTTTTTCTGAGGTCCCAAATAGATATTTTATTAAATAGTAAAAATATGATTCTTTAGACATTCCAATTACAAGAATTCTCATCTTAACCTATTCTCAGAAAGAAATACATGAAACTGATTTCCTAGCTCTCGGCTTGGTGCAAGTAGATTTTTAAATGCACATGGCTTCAAGATAATTCTCAGATTTTATATAATTTATCTACTTTGGTCTAAATTGCCACTAAGGTATCATAATTTTGAAAGTTTGCAAACAGAGTTTCAACAGGACTGTATGTATTATTTTTGAATTTTCAGCAGCGTGCTGTACCCAATTGCTGCAATTGTATGGAGATCAAATACCCAATATGTATGATTGATATGAGTCCCTTTTTGTCAGGACTCTCGTTTAACATTGATATGTTTCCGAGTCAGGAATCTAAAATAAGATAATCCAGAATGGATACAAAATGTCTAAATATTGAACAAAATGATATTTGAAGAGTGGGTTCCTTATACATGAATATGTGTTATAATAATAAAGTAAAATCTATATCTTTTCAGGTGAAGCCAAAGAAACCTCCCCCACCCTCATCCCATCAACGACCATCCAAGCCTGCACCAGTGCCCCCTCCATCAGAGAAGGAACCAACTGATATTAAAACAAAGAGAGAAAGTCTCAAGAAAGAAGAAAAGAAAGGTACACACTTAGAGATGTGGGGTGCTCAATAGGCTTTCAGACTGAGGTCCAGCAGACTCATTAATTTTGTCCAATCCTATTTTTCTCATTCAAATTGTAGAAACTTTGCCTCACTTTAACATCATGTGTACAATTATTAAATTCTGTAAATGAAGTCAATTTAAAAAATAACTAATAACTAATGTCAGTTTTGTGTATAATTGATGTCAGTGTTTTTTAATCTGATGTCAGTGTTAAAAAATGATGTCAGCATTTAAGCAATGTCATGTCCATGTTTACAACCTATGTGAATGTCTGCACACCTGAATGTTATCCAGAAGCCAAGACTGTGCCAAACCTGCCTAGTAAAAAGCCAGCACTTCCTCCCCCTGTTGGTAGAAAGCCATTACCCCCCAAACCAGAGGAGGAACCCCCTAAAGTAGCAAAAACAATACACTCAGAGAAAATAATCGAAACAGGTTTGTAATGTACTAAACTTAGAATAGGAATTAATAGTCTTTGTGTTCTCATAACTCATTCCTATACATTTTAACATTTTTAATTGATTTGTTTAACTAAATAAAGACAAATTGATATGTGAAATATGTGTGTAAATTGTCTAGTCTCCTACTAATGAGATCACTATGCATGGTAGATGTTGTAAGCATAATCTTAATTTACATCCCTGGAAGGTGTGTATGTTAGTGAGGGGGGATGCATAACATCTAGATACTTTGGTCTACTTAGTATGCAAAAATCATCTACTAATGAAATCATTACACGGGTCATGTTGTGTTATACTTAACATTTAGGTGTATTGTTACAGGCGCAGCTAATGGGTTGGATGTTGTAGAAAGCACAGAGAAACTTAGCCATCCTACAAAAGATCGACCCAAACCAAACAAAAGACCCCCATCTGCAGAGAAAAAGGGGGTAAGGATTTCACTTGAACTATATGGTTGTTGTCTTCTAGAGTCTAATGTTGTACTGTTATGTCGATATCGTTATGTCACCACTTCTTGATAGCATAAAGTGTTTGTAGCAATAGACTAGATGCAAGTAGAAATAATCTTGATTTACATCATTGAAAATTCAAAATTCAGTCAAACTGATGTCTTATTTGGAATCTACATGTAAACTCACATCTAGAAATGTGGTTTTGAAAAGAGTTTATCAACTTTGAAAATTTAATTTTCTTTGAAAATGTGACTTCTATGTCGGGGAGATTCCCCATAGACCTCATGTTATAAAATCACAAAAAGTGAAATACATTTTCCTGTGTTGGGCAGATAATATTTTCTTTACTGGACATATTTTGATTTGTATAATTAACAGATACATGAGGGTAATATGAAATGTGAACCACTAAAACTGATGAATATTAAAGTTAAAGGGAACTTTCTAATACCATGCCATGTTATTTCCCCCAAATTAGCCACCTGGTGGCGAAACTGGTAACTAACCTCTTGCATCTGAGTAATCGTTCAGTTTTGTAACAATTTTCAGAGTTTACCAGATGATGACATTTTGTCATGTTACCTAATGCCTTGTTTTATGTTATGTTGTTAGCTTTGCCAATTTTCTTCCCAAATTAAAAAATACATAAATGATTTGTACATTATTGACATTGAACCACATGTGTCCACATTTGATTTTCAATGCTGCAATACTAACAATTATTGACAGATAGCTGCAAAGAGTATCTGGCAACAGAAGACATATTTTTTGCTTATTTAACAATTTTATATATAATTCCACAATATAGCAAGATTCAAGATTTTATTGTGTTTCAAGCCAAGCAATTGGCTTCCTCACAAAATCAATTACTTACATATAGCCTCAGTATCTCTCTTTGTATATCATGTAGATACAATGTTGACTGTTTGTTTTAGTTACTATTGAAAAACTATTTCAACTTAGTGGAGATAAATACAGGAGTATGTATTGTTTCCATTATAGCCCATATTTACAGAATAATAGTCCCTATTATAATTTCTCGTATGATCTGTAAAATAAAGCCTTCTGATGTTCTTGTGCTGTACCAATCTGTATTGCTACTGAGATTGCCCCCTTTGATCATCTCCGTCGCAATACAGAAAATATTGGTACGGAGGGGGCATTCTCAGTTGCAAATTACAGAGGATCACACGATAAAAACGTTATAGAATGATTTGAAGTGCAATACAGGATATATTCTGCTCTCGATATTCTGTATTGGCACTTGACTTCGTCTCGTTCCAATACGGAATTTCTCAAGCAGAATATATCCTGTATTGCACTTCAAATCATTCAATAACTTATAATACTCCTCTACAATGTTTAACTCCATATTTACAATATATAAGTCCATATTTACAATATGTAAGTCAGTATTTACAATATATATTTCCATACTTACATTATATAAGTCTATATTTACAATATTTAAGTCTATGTCTGCAATATTTAAGTTCGTATCTACAATATTTAAGCCCATATTAACAATATTGAAGTCTATATGAATAATATGTGGGTCTTATAATATAGTTTCCTTATTAATGATATATAAGCCAATATTTACAATATTTAACCTTATATCTACAATTGAAGTCCATATTTTGCAGAACATATATCAAAATCTACAATATATGTCAATATTTACAATACATTTAATGTAGATAAGATATTTGGTGATGGGAGAAGTTATTGTTTTGTACTTTAAACTGAAATTCAAATTCATAAAAAATCATCTTCATCCTCTCAGAAAATATGTTTAAAAGTTATCCCCTGTCATAGGAAATATAGAAGTTACTCTAGCTAGCCAGAGTGCACTTCAAATGTACATGGCATCAACATACATGACTTACATAGTAAGATTTAGACCAAACAAAATGATCAAGACATCTCCTTCCATTATCTGCCTTCCTACACCCCTTTTATTTTAGACCGCTTACCCATTTCCCATAACAGATTACCAAAAAAACTCATTAGCTTTGGCATGGGATAAGAAGTATTTAATCACTGTGAAGGGTTTAAGATGATAATGATTCAGATGCGTAAAACTGTATGTTTCCATGTCGCTTAGTGCTTCTGGGATCTTTGCTTTTATTTATTTCATCATTATGTGTCTTTCCTTTTTCTATATACTGATACTATAAAATAAAGACGTCTGTAATCTGATTGGTATGATTAGCCAGCAATGAGCCAATCAGATTACATATATTTCTTGTTATGAATAATTAGCCCATGTGTACATTAATTGATAATTCTGTAACAAATTCGTCTATCTTTATTTGATTGATGGCTCTTTAATAAAATGATCACTCTCTTATTAAATGATCATTCTCTAATGAACTTATCACTCTTTAATGATTGATCAATATCTGATATTGAGACTCTAATGAATTGATCACTCTGGTCTATTGATCACCTAAAGTAAATCAAACGCTTGCTTTGCTTATTCTTAGGAAGAAGAAGTTTCAGCTGAGGAAGAGAGTAAAATTTCCCCTCGTGAAAAACATCGTCATGACAAGAACAGCCGTCATAGTGACCGGGATTCCAAAGAAACCAGCAAGGTGGACAAGGTAGCTCGGCTTCACATTAAATCTCTAATAATTCTTGATTTGAACATAATATAATCTTCAATTTCTGGTTAATATTGCAAATTGAGGTGAATGATTGTAAATTATATAAATAATCATTTCAGAAAGTAGGATTTGTCAAGCATATCAAGCATTTAAATAAGGTATAGCTTTAACTAAGGTAGCATTGTCAAATGCAACTGCTGGCTGATGGTTTAACTTATTTTAGTCATGGCCAACTCATTTAAATATGAATGGAATAGTGGTAGGTACTATTCATATTTAAATGAGTTGGCCATAAAATAGTAGGTTACACCATCAGCTGGCAGCTAAATTTGCTAATGCTACCTACTTGTTCAACTTGAAATTTCTTAAAGCTTATAAAAAGGCAGTCTTAAACACAGCTCCAAAAATGCCTAAAATTGAAGTGAACTACTCATTTAATTGGGAAATTTTCCTGGTTGACCATATTTTCTTAGGGTTGTGTGTTTGACTGTCCTTCATTGATTTGAAACCATTCATTTTAAAATTGTAACTTGCTATTGTTCACCAGTTTTATATTCATACCATAACAGAGTTGGACTGTTTCTTTAAAGCTTGGGATATTTTTCTCATAGAATAATGCTTTCAATTTATTATGTGTTTTATAAACCTTGTTGGCTTTAATTTTAATGATCTGCATTTCATCTGAGAGCAGCTACTTTCGCTTCATGTTAATTGTGTTAAATTGTGGAACTTAATTTAAGTACTCGTACGAATTATGTGATTGGTAACTTTCACTGGAGATTGATTTCTCCTATGGTTAACTCAGGCTGGTAAAACCATGTTTCCTTCTAAAAATGACATTATGAGCTTGTAATAATTAGTTTTGTCAAAAAGGGAAATATTCGGCATTATTCATTTGGCTTGTTGTGAGAAATTCCAGTGAAACCCCTGATGCAAGTATTCAAGAGTTTCTTAGACTAAGAAAATATATTGTATAATAAAGTATTGCAAAGGTAATTGTAACATTTTTTCAGGAGAAAGAACATGAGAAGAAAGTTCCCCCTCTACGTAGACCCCCACAGCCAAAACATGACAAAGGTATTTATATTTCCCCAATAAACAATTTTGTTTGGTTTACTGTACAACTTAAACTTTATGAGATATCATGCATCAATAACCTTAAGGAAATCTCACATAGTGAACACATAGTGAGCCTTTGGAATTGGCCACTCATAAGTCATTTGTAAATCCATCATGAATCTGCATTCCTTTAAAGGCCCCATATAAAGTTTAAACCACTTTGCCTTATTTTGTAGTCTTACCCAATTTTATCAAAGTGTGATATGTGAAACTTTTTTTTTTAATTTCAAAAAATGGTTTTTGATAAACTTTTTGTTCCAAAATGTGTGAATTTATTTAAAACCAACTTTTAGAGGTAACTCATATCTTCTAATTAGCCACAATTCATACCAATAAATAGCATTCATCCTCCCATGTTTTTTGCCGAAAAAATTAAGAAAATCGGTTTATAAATAAGCGAGAAATGAACTTATCAGTGCACGAAAATGGTTCTGAGAAAAATGCATTCCAAAATTTTAGTTCTCATAGAAACCAATGGTACAATGATATCTAAAACATAATTTAATCTTCCTTTTAACCTGGTTAGACAATCAGCTTTGGTTTTTTATGAAAGTCTAGCATATTTAGAAAAGATTGACATCGAAAAAAAAATTTCAATTTTTTTCAAAAAGTTTTTGCTACCTTAGTGACATCACTAATGTTTCAAAATATTTTTGATATGCTAAAACATTGAAGTGGCCCGTTAAATATGGCATTTTATTATTGAAATAGTGTGTCCTTTGTTCAATCTTTGCATTGGTGTTAAAAAGATAATCTTTTTTGAAATGCATTAAGAAATATTTGATGATTAAGAAATTTCAAATGGCGGGAAATTTGAATATTTGAGAAATGAAATGCTCACAACTTTTTTGTTCAAAATTTTTTTTTTTTCAAAAATCTCTAAAATCACTTTTTAAGTCTTGACAAATAGTAAATGAATGATAAAAAAATATTTTCAAACTTAAGACGACTTTAATATTGATAACCTGCTGCATTTTTCTGTTGTTAATGGATTCATGCTGTTAATTTACAGCATTGGTGCCCAACCTGGGTTCCTGTTTTCCTCATTTAGGTGCAAAATTTGGTTTTGGTATAAAAGCAGGAGAAAATTGTCAGCTGCCTGATGCTAGTGAAACCCTTGGTCTATGATAAAGCAAGAGATGCACTTATCCAGGCCTGAGATTTAATAATTCTTGTGTATATTTCAGACAAACCTCTCAGTCCTGTTGAACCAATTCCACGCCAGGCATCTTCTGAACATCATCACGAAGACAACATCTCTACTGAACAAATCAATGAATTGAAATCCGAAATAAAACATTTACGCTCAGAAACCGTCTCCAAGGAAACTCATGAAAGACTCCGGAAAGATTTTGATAGCCTTAAGGAACAGTTTGATCATCTTAAGAGACAGTTGAATAAAAGAATGATTGATTTAATGACCGAGGTTGATGATGAAAAGAAAAAGAGACTGAACACTGAAGTTGAAATTGAGAGGTTAAAAAAGCTAGTCATGGACACATGAATATAAATGCAGATCCAAAGGCAGCGGTCACATAGAAAAATGTTAGCGTTTCAAATGTTAAAGTTCATCGCCTTGCTGTGTAGAAATTACACTTTAAAATGTTACTCAGACTAACTCAGTAGAAGATGGATACACATTTGTTTATAATAGACTGTAGTTTCCTTGGTTATATGTAAGGGTATACAGGATTATTTTATAGACATTATCGATGCAATATTAGGAGTAAAACACAATGTTATCGTATTATATATGGGTATATATCTGAAAAAGCCAGTCCGTGCATCCATTCAAATTACTCAATTTATGATATTATACCAATTTCAAAAATGGCTTATAGCACAACACTAAACGGATTCAATACGATGTTATATTGTATGGATTACTATCTCTGATTCATAAGCGAGTTGGACAACCAAAAGTTCCTCAGTCTAGATACTCCATTCTGATTGGTCAGTTGGAAGTGTACAATTTAATCAGATGAGTCTACCTCTGGAAAGGTCTGCTATTTGTTTCGTTAGTATAACATCACTTTCTCAGACAAGTTGAATAGAAGCCAAATTCAAATGCCAAAACAACAATGGTCGTGGTATATAATCAGCAAATTTCACAAGTCACTGTACATGTATGAATAACTTTTTATCATATTATTCAAAAAGTAATGAACAGGGTGGTTGTACATTCATGTGACTGTACTGTCTCGGCCTTAGATGTATGAGCTGAAGTGGAATTTACTTATCTAAAGGCTTCTTGTTTCTTTATGCCACAATCTTGTAACTGGTTTGGAAAATAATGTGGCTAAAATTGAAGAGTTTTCCATTATGGTTGTTGCAATAAATGATGTTGGTAAAATGTATAGCACAGTATTAAACTAAAGAACATATCACATGATTTTCATTTTAAATCAACTGAATATTTTTAAAGTTCATGTAAATTAGTATTTTTCAATTTTTAATTTATTATAACACATAGTTCTGTTAATGAATAGGATTACACATATGCAATTAGCAAATGTATTGAAACTTCAAGTTGATTTCAAAAGTTGGAAAATTAGAGCACCTGCAAAATTATTGTTTGGTGCTAGACATCACTGAAATTATTTTAAACTACTTTAAGTGATTGTTAGTTGGGGGAAATACCCCATAATTCATTGATGGACCTATCTCCATGTAAAAGTAAACTCTAACTATGAATTCTGGGATATTCCTCCTTTATGAATGCTGGAAGTCTACTTCCTCCTTTGAAATTCTTGGGAGTTGGAATGTTGTGAAACAATATGCTCAATTTTTGATTTTGCATTTCCAAGATAAGAACCATATCAATCCTCCGCCATTCAAGATGTTTCATTAATGTATTTTCTAATATAAAGGCAAGTCTATACTGTCACATAAATTTTATTTTCGGGAATCATTGGGAAGGGATAGTTTAACATATCAAATGCATTAGTGGCCTACTTGACCAACATTGTGTGTGGTACACTCCCTCCAAAAGTTTTTGTCCATGCTACTATCCATGCTATCAAAAGGGAACCTTGAGTTGCTTAACTAATGAAGAGGGGTGTAGGTCACTGTGGTGAGGTGTATCATCTATATGGACATATTTGGACATATTGTTACTAATTATGTACATACTGCATATAGGCATATATGAATGTACAGGTGTATTTTACATTTATTAATTACAGGTATTCATGTTACCTTTGAATAATATTAATATGTACATTTATGTATATTTAATAAATTACCTTTATACTATTACAAATTCGTTCATGTTACATTTTTAATAAAGGACAGTGAGTTTCTTTTGGACTGTCATGTTTGGATTTGTGTGATTATCACAGTCACATCAAGCTATTAAAGTCAACAAAAATCCATTTGATATGAATAATTGAAATGCAATCATCAATAATTGGCACATGTTCTTAATACTTAGGCCTATGAGGACCTCTCTGTCTTTCTAGTAATATGTACGTCAAAATAAGATGACCTTAAAAATGAAGATAAGCTGAAATTCAAAACTAGTGTACCACTTATTTTTGACCCACCCTGTATGTTCACCTCTCTGATAGAACACCTCTCTGTAGGGGAAGAAACACCTTTTTATATAACAGCTTTCAAGAGAACCAAGTACAGGTACTATGAATTAAAATGTACCCATCTACAAACAATACAAGGGATAATATTCCCTAATACAAAAGGCATTCCATATACACAGGTTTCACTGTACTTCACTTGATTGGAGATTAAAGTCCATTGATAGTATTCCCTTTCTCTATATTGTTATAAGTTGAACCAAAGTAGAACATGATAAAGGTGAACCAAGATTTAGTATTCTAATAACAGTAAATATATTTAACATGGCTACATCTAGTGATACAGAACCCAGGCCGAGCAGAATAAGATCCAGGAGAGTGTCTTATCTGGGGCTACTGGAAGAAGTCACAAGAAATACTGTAAAACTGAGTCAAGAACAGAAACAGAGACTTGATGCATATGTGGCAGCAGGATATGATGTAGCTAAGCTGCAATTCAGTGATGCTGATGTTAAAAACCAGAAAGACCATGTAGAGCACATTGTGAAGACACTTGTTCATGAACTAGGAGAACATTTTCCAGCACTTAAAGTTAGGAAACAACTAGGGACGGGAAGTTTCTACAATAACACAAGGATATTGAGTCCAGATGAGTTTGATTATTTACTGATATTATGTCTGACCAGCCAAGTAGAGAAGGAAGAGACTGGAAATGATTCTGTAAAAATAAAAGTTATCGATGAATCATTAAGAAAGTATATGAAGAAGTATTTGTCAACCTATAGTGACAACCTATCAGGGCCACTTCTCACAGATGACAATTTTCTACAATCAGAACAATTTGTAGGTGTACTTATAAACACAATACATGAATGCCTAGAGCAGTTACAAAAGAAAGGTGTCATTAGCTACAAGGGAAAACATGTTTTTGAACACTCTATTGACACTTTGAAAGCACAAGACACAATGTTGGAGTATAACATGTTGAAATATGCAAAACCGGAATACCAACCTGATGATGAATCATATATTCCAGAACTGTCTCTACATGATGTAATTCTGGATGAATTACCACACGGAGCAGCAGTGCGTCTAAGAGTACAAGGTCCTCTAGGCCCAGCTGACATCGACCTGGGCTTTTGCATTGAATCATCAACGACAGGAGCTGGTCGGTATATTTCTATACCACTGGGAATGGGTAATGAGTGGGTGCCATCATTCTACCAGAATCTTAGTCACCCCAAATTGAATGAACATCATGGAAAGATCCTTACATTCCTTAAGTATCTTCTCAGAGAGTGTAAGCTAGTATCCAATTACACATTCAACTCTCACAACCTTAAGACATGTGTAGTAATCCACCAGAAGGTATGTGAACAAAAGCAATATGATAAGGACAGATCACTTGGAGGATGTCTCATTGATATTGCTTTTTACATGTTTGAAAAACGTGGAAAAATTTGGAAAACTTTTGATGAATTACTCATACCATATAAAGAGGAGTGCACATTGCCGAACATCAACTTCCCAGGTGAGACTGTGACAGCTTGGATACCATGGCAACCACTGTGTTGATTGAGATGGTTAAGGACGCACAGATTCCTCGTTATAGACCACAGGTTGGTTCTGGCTGAGCTACTTGCACAGGAGAAGGCAGGAATGATATATACGCGTGCGACAACAGGGTTTAATGATGAGAAGGTTACTCATTGCCCTTTACACATACTAGAAAAAATGAAATCTTATATCACACTACCAACTCCACAAATGGAATAACTTGAATAATGCTTATTCATTGCAATATTCAAAACAAGCCATGGTACCTGGATTCATAACAAGGACATATGAATACTGTATCACATTCACTTGAGACATATTTAAAGTGAACTTGTGTTATGATGGCTCCATATTTTGATATGGTCACAAAAGATAGTTCAAGATTAAAATTTGAAGTGGACCTTTCACTCACTTCCTAAATAATGTATATTTGAAAATGTTAGTACATGTATATGGATATTTTATATTGGCATTGCCATGAATTGGTGACATATTGTATAAAGTATAATTCACTTCTTACTCAAAACTAATGCACATTAACGAAATGTATTGGACTTTTACCATTTCCTTAAGCTTATTATTTAGGCTATCAACAAGGCAGCAAATAGTGTATCACTCTCCCCTTAAAATTCTAGTTGTACTACATATATGAAAAAATGTTGATATCTGACAAGAGCAGAATTTATTGAAAATCTAACATACATAAATGTCTAAATTCATTACAATTGAAAGAGGGCATCCACTTTTTGAAAAGGGTTTGACATGGAATGTTGAGAAAAGTATAATCGTGACAATGTTTCATGGCTATTACCCTTTAATCATCCATGTGGGAAGATACTGGTATAATTGTCATTGTCCCTTCTCCCACTCCGTTTCTCCAAGGAGGATTGGCCACAATTATGCAATTAATTTGATCTTCTGTTGCCTGAGCATGAACTAATTTGTTAACAATATTAACCATTATGTTGAAAGTACTGCCTGGGAGTTTGGATCTTACCATAATACTCATAATGTCCACCTTCCAATGAAAAACTTGGTCCAAAGATGAACCTAATAAGTATTATTACTAAATTGTTCCATGCAACGGATGATCAAGTTTGAATAATGGCTGCCAATTCCCCTTGCCAACTCTCTATGAAATGAATTTTGGGTTTGACTTCAGGCAGAATCTTATCTGAATCAATCACAATAAAATTAGGCATAAACACGACAAAATGTCATCTACCTTCTTAGTTATTGCAAATTGGTACAGATGCAGAACGCCGAATACCATCACCATCCACGAATATTTAGAAATTAACTATAACAATATGTCACCACTTTTGGTGGTGACATAATTAAATAGTCCAATTCTCGAAACAAACACAAGTAAAATTTTACTTTTGTCACGTTTTATTACAAATGGAATGCTAAAATTCTGAATGTTACAAAATGTTTCCATTCATGTAGATTATGAATCTTGAACTCTATAGATGTCTACAAGCAATTATTAAGAAAAATAGCATACTTCACACATTATTTTAGCTGTATAAAAATAAAATGTTGAACACGATTTGTTATTTATCCATCAATTTAGACATCCAAGCTTTTATCATGATTGAAACACAAATGAATCAATGTGTCTCTTGGTATTTACAGTATAATATTAGGCTAAAAAATATTTACATTTTAAATGTCAGGAATGCATATAAAATAAAACTAGCTCAGTATATAATATGATACTAAATGATTATTTTTATTTTACATTATGAGCTTGTACCATCTGGAATATCATTATAAAATATGTAGAGTATATATACAAATATAAAATCAGATCTACCATAATTCATAGGAAAGCTTTCAGATCTTTTCAGATATTAAGGTATACATATATATGCATGTACATTTAATGTTACCAGTAAAATAATTATGCTAAGCTTACAGCTCAACATAAAAGGTAATCAGATCTTTTTCCAATTATGCAATTTTTGAGAAACACTCAATCATGAGAAAAAGATTTTAAATACAAATATAAAGGTAGATAATAAAATTATCAGATCTGGGGAATGTTGCAAACTGAAAACTATGAAGTTATAAAATAACTTTTTATGGATTGTGTCACATAATACCCAAATAGGGTGTCACAAAATAGCCTACATTATGGATATATCCTGTAAAACAATAATGGAATGTAAACATTTCAGAATAGGTAAAATTGTAAACCAAGTTAACTTATTAATATAACCTCAGATCTATTTCTTGGACACAGGTAAAGTGCAATCATTTAATGTACTGCAAATTGATGTAATATCATTTAAACATCTACTTTATGTGATCAATCTTAAAGTAGGCACAGGCTGACAGTAATTGTCTGGTTATACAAAACTACAATTTCTAGATTAAAAACTATGAGTATATCTACAGCAGATCTTTCTTCCATCTCGTTAAAAAATGCAAAATATATATTTACATTGCTTTCACAAATGATTTTAAAAACTTGTACACCATAACTGATCACAAAATAACTTCATAAGCATCATATGTCATTTTTCAATGCAGGGGTACTATTGTAAAGAGTAGAGTCTCGAATTTGAACACACATATACATTTGGAATCAACATTATGATATTTGGATCTCAAGATGTCAATCTTATGCAGAAGTTACTTCTCAATTCTTATTGTGTATCAGTGTTGACAGAGATATTATGATGTTTACAGTGAAAAATTGAGAATATAAATTAATTCTTCGAGGTAGTCCTTAAAGGACTGTTCTGTTGTTCAATTCCCAGTGTAATGTTACATTAGGATGTATATTACCATGTTACCTATATAAATTCTTGGAATAACAAAACATTTGGCCTGTAATTTAAATTGTCCCAAATACCACACTCATTGTGATGAATGATATGTAAAATTCAAGTAAAGCAAATAAAAGATGTCACTAGTGCATCATGTGTATAACTGCTGCAATGACGAGGAGAAGAATGGAGCTACCAGCTATTCTTGGGGCACTTGCAGGACGGCATTTAAGAGTGTGAAACCTGGAACAAAGAAATGTATCATTTAAACACTTTCAGCGCTTTTGTACAATAAAAGAGGTCAAGTTTTCAACTTTGCATTAACAAGCAAATTGTCACCACCTGCCATTTGTTTAAGACCAGTGTTTTCAGTAGGTTTGTCCAAGATTGGGTCCCTGGGACGTAACGATTTTCAAAAAATGCGTCTCCCCTAAAAAAACTGGGTCCCTTGAAAAAATGTTCCCGGGAATTCAAAGTCACGCTTTTACACTAACCAAAATAAAATTGATGAAATTTTGAATCACTTTTGCTATTTTAATTTACGTCCACCCAATCTTGATTTACGTCCTCTCCATTGAAGGACGCTGTTATTGAAATCACTGAAGACACTACACTCTGAATGCCAAATTCTGACTGCCAATACAAAAATTTGGAGACCAAAACAATTAATGGAAATGCATGGCACAACCCTGACCACTAAGATTACAATTAACATTTTATTCCGACAGATATCATGCTTTATTACTTACTTACAACTACAATAACATCTTACCTGTGTCGTACTTCATCAGGATTTGATTCACCCTTCTCAGCCGCAATCATTTTATTGTATTCAGACTCCATGGTCTGTCCATCATAGTACCAGGCTCTGTCGTTGAAGGGGTACTCATAACCCTGGCGACACTCGCACTTGTATGATCCCTTGTTAAACTTCTTCCCAGGCAGATGAACACACTAAAAGATAAACAACATATCCTCAATTATGTGCAGTGGTATCACCATGGATATGACTATAGACAGCTTTTAATGACATTATTTGTTGCTATGGTGGATAAGTTGGGGTGAGATACTCGAATCAAATCCATTTCTTCATGTTCATTGTAGCAAACAAATATTTCTCTTTCCTATAATGAGAAATTGCACTTTCCAAACATGTATATGATAAATGTTAACGACATCTCATGTCATGTGATCTGTTTTTGACCAATCAGATATAGTGAAACATTACAATGATCAAACATGTATTTATAATTCTGTGAGATGATTATATATTAGTATGGTATATTTGAGGAGATGAAAAGCTGAGGCACCATTCTCATTTTGATTGATTTGTTAATAGTTATGACATGCAGAGTTGAAATCAGGGTAGATCACATCATACTAGCTGCTACGAAATCGTTCCTGTTTGGCACCAGGGGAAAATCACAGTTTCAGCACGTGATTATTCCGCCAGTGCCAAGCTAGAGCAATCACTATCTACATTGGTTGCTATAGATGCATACACATCATTGTGCAATCATCTAGTTGCTATGGTCACACCTAAAACAATGTAAATGCACTGTTGTGCCAGTAACATTATCAGGACGTTAGAAGCAACTATAAGGTCTCTAGGATGTCACAGCAAACAATCAAAATCCACTATGGTTGCTATGGTATGGCACGGCAAACAATCAAAATCCACTATGGTTGCTATGGTAACAAAAGATTACTATCCTGATACTTTGGTCTAGAAATTAACTTTGCTGAGATATCAACAAACAATATATATATAAAGATAATCTGATTTTTTAAGCAAACCCTATTTTCTGCACTCTAAATACATACCCTTGTGCTCTCGTAATGGCAACGAGCGGTACTCTTGAAAGCATTGGGGACATGGAAGGGCATTGGACATTGGTGGATATCTAGCTCTGCCAATAAGACATCTACAGTGGCAACACCCCTAGAATCATAAACAGAAAAAATATTCAATCAGGCTGTACTGGTTATTGTAAATGTTTTCACAAATTTGGTTTTAACATTTTCGTTTTTATTTACATTTTTTTTATTTAGACAGCATAATATATGATACAACAGAGTCCAAGTCAAGACAATATTGACCCTGTACGATACATAATTCAAGATGACCCTTAAGTGCAATGGAGATTAACTGGTTTGTAAATAGTAGCAATTTGATTTTAATAACACATCAAGCTGAGTCTCATATGCATTATGCTAATAAATGTACATCGAAAAAGAAATCTATAAGACATATTGGATTGCTTTAAACAATGGAACTTGTTCACTTTTGGTGAAATTAATTAGGCAGGACAGGTGTCATGACCACAAGCTTGTATATTTTTTTAATCATTTTAATAAAAATAACTGAACATGTGGATAAATATACTGTAACTATATTCATTAAATCTAATAACTTACTTGAATTCAATATGGGTGCGGAGGCTGTTCATTCCAAAGAAAGGGACAGAATAAGTGATGACCCAATCGTTGATGCCAGTATGGCCACCGCAGTCAAAGTATGGCTTGCTCCACTGGCCATCATCCAAGGCAGGTGCTCTACAACAGTAAAAGACGAGGGAGCATTCAATACGTGTATTTAATATAAAATAATACGTTCAGAGATTACTCAATATGAGGTTCAGGATATTGGAATTATCCAGAAGCAAATATAATGTATCTGTCTGCTAGCCAAGATGAAAATCTACATCCTGCCCACTGTTGAAAATAATCATAGTTTTGATTACATTCTTTACACTCTGCACTTTGGACATACTTTTGCGACAATAACTATCAGGTAAATGGGTAACTTTCTATTTATTTCTTAAATGTCATAACATTTGAACACATGTAGCAATTGTAACCAAATAATGAAGTGGACCAATACTAGTTTAGCACAAAAATCTGATAAACCATAACTGATCTTCATCCTGAAACCTTAATTTCATAATCAGGAGTTTCACTAGAATTTCTCAAAACAGGCTAAATAAATGAAAGCAACAAGCAAAATTAATTGAAATCATAAATTTAACATGGAAAGTAGAAAAGTCCCTAAAAACAACAGGTGATTTTTTAAAAACAACCAATGGAAATCGCCTGTTGCCTGCTGCTATTGAAACCCCTGATAATCATCAATGTATTGTTGATTGAGTTTGGCACCCACCTGTAGAACATTGGGTAATGTTCAAATCTGTTCAGTGCTGTTCCTTTCAAGTCTGATCTGACCAAGGCCTTTGTAGTCCATTTCTTCAAACCATAGACATTTGACTGCCATCTCTCCTTAATATTCACAAACCAGTCATCATTGATGTATGGCTCACCATCAAATCCAGCAAAATCCACAACCTTTGTTCGTGTTCCACTAGCTTTGTATGCATACGGCCCAAAGTACTGACGCGTTGTACCATCCAGATTTACAAACTTATCAGTATCAAAGAAGATACCACTTCCATGGATTTTATAATCAGCCATCACATTTGCCATGACTTCCCCAAACAGTTGCTCGTAGTTGAGAGGACGGTCTCCACGCAGGGTTCCATACTCCTCATAGAAGTCAATATTCTCCATGAAGTTACTGATAAAGTGTGCCATACGGAGAGCGGTCCTTGCCTGATTCTGAAGTTGTTCATCAGCTCCATATGCGACATCTCCCGGCAGGAACAAGTCATCTTTGGTCATCAGATGACAGTTGTCAGCCTTCACTTGTAGTCTATGGTTGTCGATTCGTTGAAATCGCTCAAATGCTTCAGCATCAAAGAAATCACGTTTCACACGATGTTTCGAAGTGTCTCTTTCATATCGTGGTACAAATGATCGTTTAACTTTAGGGGCTTCCTTGGTAATCTAAATCAAAACATCAACAGTCAATTTAATTTCCTTTTTCGCAGAGTTAGATCATTACAACAGGAAATCAACACACAGTAAATAGTAATGGTGTCAATTAACCGCTTGAGCATTAACCGGTTAACCGGGGTTTTTTACCGGTTAAAGTCGGTTAACCGGCGGGAAATTTGAACTTATAATTTCAAATGAAATCTTCATCTTCGATCTTGAAAGTTGAAAAATGATATATCGGCGTTTATTTTTTACGTTCGTCAAGCTTTACGCTATTCTATGTAAGTAAGCGCGGGAAAGCAATGTGGCAGGGATTAAAGTTGCTGATTGGATGTTTGTAAGGAATTATCGGACCTATCACATGTATGAGTAGCTCACATGAAACTGACGCTTGAAAACAAACAGATTAAAATGCAAAGTAAGCGCGGGAAAGCAATGTTGCAGGGATTAAAGTTGCTGATTGGATGTTTGTAAGGAGTTATGGGACTTATGACATGTATGAGTAGCTTACGTGAAACTGACACCATAAAACCAAACGGATTAGCATGCAAAATAAGCGCAGGAAATAACAGAATTATACACGGTCAACTAACCGCCCATAAAAACTCAGACCGGTCAAGGCATTATCGGCGGTTAATCGGTTAACCGGTTAATACTTGACACCTCTAGTAAATAGAGCACATAACGCTTTAAGATACAGCTCTATAGAGTTCATATAGGTGATATCACATTATACATTGCAGTAGATTTCTGACTTTCCTAATAAATGGTATAGAGTAAATTAAAAATACACATTAAGAGTTGTGTCCAACTGTTGACAGTTCTGGAAAAACAAAGCTAATTTCAATCTGGTTGACCACACATGCCTCATAATTTAATTTTGGTATTTTTATCACTGGCTAAGGATGAAAATTTCAAGTGAGTGCAGATTAATTCTAAAAATCCTCAATTGAGTGCACCTGGTTGATGATTTACTAGACCTACCTTCTCTTCTGGTTTAGGAAGGGCCCTCTTAGATACAATATGTCGTCTGGCCCTTTCTTTAACCTCAATCTCTGGCTTAATAACAACATTCATAGCTTCGATAAATGTCTCCTTTAGGCTAACAGGAGTCTTGCGCTTTGTTCGACTCTTCAACATTGTACGTTTTTTCCTTGATTTAACTAGATCTGACTCAACATGTTTTCTTGAGTTTATGGCTCGTTTCTTCCGTCCAAGGCCTGGAATAACTCCTGTATCTACTGGTCTTTCTCCATCCAAGTTTGGTAAAGTTTGCTTCCCTAGAATGTCATAAATTATGAAATAAGTAAAAATAAAAGCAACTCTGTAAATATTTTGTAAAGTGAATACATTTGGGGACCAAAAGGGTATTCCCTGTAGGTGTTCACTATTTATAAGGTTTGTGTCAATGGAATTCGAAGAGGGATGTGTTATCACTACATCATTGCATGATTTCTTCTCAAGAAAATGCAAATTTTCTTTTGGGTAAACATTTGCCACTCACTATCACTCTACTATACCTTACCACTAGAAATGCATAAGATACTCTGTTTGTCCAATTGTATTGTTTAGTATATTTTTGAGAGTACCCTATTAACATCTAACGTCATCCGATAAACTATTAATAAGGAACAGACAAATAAAAAACAAATAACATAATGATTACTAATAAGCCGAAAGAATTGCTCATGAACACCTAATGCAAGGTATAGTAGAGTGACTATGCTTGCAATAATAAAATGTTGAAATTATTTGCCACTTGCTACACACACAACAATAAAAGTTTTGAATTATTTGTCAGCTTGCTACACTCGCAAACATAATCCTACTTAATCTACACTGCTTCGCATAAACTTTCCCTATTCTTTATGGGTCAATAATAAAGACTGATGTTAATTAACACACCCAAGCTACAAGGACTGAACAATTTAAAAAATAAGAGTTTTTGATTATAATAATTACCTCTTGATTTTCATTCCTTTACTTTAGTAGATTTAAAAATAAGAGTTTTTGATTATGATATGTTAATGCTTGATTTTCAGATCAGATCTTTAGTTTAAGAAAATAAATTAACTGTGAGTGATATTTTTCATAATAAATACAGGGATCTGCATACAGATAAGACAAATTTAGATGCATCAACCCTCCTCATCTTTTTTTCCCACTGTAGCACATTTCTGAGCTCAGGTGGGTGATGCACCAAGAGAACAATGCTATGGAGACAAACTTACATCCTGTTTCCAGACACTGAAAACCTCTCTCATGTTCCGTATTTGTCGCTCTTTCTATGTCAACCCCCTCGTATGGCCCATTCTGGAATGCGGGGTAACGGTAACCAGGACGACAGGCACAATTGTAGCCACCTCGTTTAAAACCCCAACCGTGATGTGGCTCACACTGAAATATGGAATTCAACTCATAGAAATATATAGACATCAGGCTGGTATTTCTTAAATAAACGCTGGAAGGAAAATGATGAAAATGATTTCACTGAGCATATTGTGTTGACTCTAAGATGGTAAACCATGAAAAACAAATCCCTAAAAGTAGTATTTACTATTTCGTTAATTAATTACAGTCAGTGCCATTTACATGAAATATTTCAAAATGTAAAATATTGATAAAATAATATGGAAATATTGAAAGATTAAACGGGGTATTTTTTATTTTCATGTGACTTCCAATACAACATGGTAACCATAAATTGAATGGTTCGATTTTCAAATAAGAATGATTTCTAACACCTATGGAGCGTTGCAGAATAATATAATACATTGCAATTGCAATGGTTAATTGTTAACAGTATGGCAAAGTACACGCTATACAGTTGATTAAGCTCCTTCTTCATTGTATGTCATTGCATTTCTGAATTGTCTGGAAAAGATTATAAATTTTGGCAGTATATTCACGCAGGTAACATTGCTTTCTGACAAACTGTATCTTCTGATTCATTCATTTCATGATGATATATAGTAATGCTGACATTTCTTTCACACATTTTTTCAAAACCTTGCGTAATTTGATGAGTTCTTAGGGCAGATATAATAGAGAGATTTCGCACATACGTGAAAGTACACTTATAACGTATACTTATACTTATAAGTAAACGTACAAGGTGTTTCATAATGTGGGTTTTTCGTCAGGAAAGATCTTCTCGGACTGTAATAAATAAAGGTCAAAGGGATGCCATTTGTACTTTCTTGAATTGTAGCATGTTTAGTTGATCCAAATGTGTTTGTCTAGAATAAAAAGGCTCATATATAGTACATATGTTATAGACCCATCTCTTCTCAAATTGACTTTTTGGAGATGCTCGTTATGAAACACCCTGTATGTCATTTGTTGAGCTACTGAATGGGTCGTTTCCAGGAATTGCTAGAACCTATTGGTTTGATTGGTGTTTCAAATTGATGTTTAAAGTATTTGATTGGATACAGTTCCTACTCAGCCAATTTATTTTAAAAATGCTCGCGGTCAATTGTTCCACACACATGTAGGTAAAGCTTTATACGGAGATCAAACTGTATACGTTTATCATCTACGTATTTCTACCGTTTTGTAAGTTCATTGAACTTATACTGATCGTGAAAACTTTGAAATAATCAACTTGTTTATGTGATGACTCACTTTAAAGGATCATGACTCACTTTAAAGGATCGTGTTTATAATACACTACAAGTACTAGGACACGGAAGCAAGCATTTAATTATAATGTGAATAATCTACACGTGCAGATGATAGTGCATTCACAATTTCTAGTTGACAGAGCTTTTCTATATCGGGAATAGTTATGTTCCATTAAGTACAATTTAAAATTTATTTTAGTAAATATAATAGTTCGACATGACCCTTTAAAGTATACGTATACGTATAAGTTGTACTTTCACTTATGTGCGAAATCTCTCTAATAACACAAAAGGAAGGTTTTAATAACAAAAAATGTAATTTAAGAAGTTCTTAGGGCAGATTTAGTAATTCAAAAGGGAAGTTTTAATAACAAAAAAATATCAAGGCATACAATAAGTCTCAATTCACAAGAAACCCCCCGGGCAGCCCTGGTTGAAAAAGTATAAAGAAATGAGCCAAATATCAAACAACATTACACTAAAAAGGCCCTAGTCAAAGTTTGAAAATATATTTTAGCATTCAACTTTTATCTCATGCACCTCCATTGTTTTTTCAAATATTTGAATTACTGGACCATTTCAAAATATATTTAACAAGGCATTAATATGCAAAATGTCACCACCTGCCATTTGTTACAAATGCCATTTCACAATATATTCAGAGATGTCGCTACATTTTCAAAATAACATTTTCTCTATTCTTAAAAAATCAAATCCTTTAAAATAAGCCTTTTAATTTCAAACAAATTTTGCATATACAATTATTTCAACTGTGATGTTGTTTGAAACATTACTTGAATCCTTTAACTATGTAAAACAGACAAATTTTTATAATAAAACTTACGCAATTTTTGGAGGGATGAGGAATGCCCCACTCAACTTTATTAGATTCTTAAAACCCCTGGAACTGTTACCAATAACAGGTAGAATCCAGTTAACATTAAAACTGTTGAGATGTGATATAGATTCTTAAAACCCCTGGAACTGTTACCAATAACAGGTAAAATCCAGTTAACATTAAAACTGTTGAGATGTGATATGTTCATAAAACCTGATAATTAATTGTGTTGGAAACTTGAGAAAACTAATTTCATTGCATGCTGTCTTATCATGTATAGTTATAATTAGATGTCGAAATCTTTTGCATGTCAAACCTCTTTTGTTCACATTAGGGTTATTTTCTTTGGGATCTACTGCGGTCCTTGTATTTTTCTACCTTATTTCTTAAAGCCTTTGGAAAATATCTAAACGAATAAATACTGTACATGTTAAAGGGCATCAACAAAGCTAGTATCAACATGCAAAATGTCACCACCTGCCATTTGTTATAGATGCCGAACAAAGAACGCCAGATGCCACACAAAAATTGAGACCATAACAATGTAACCACTTTTGGTGGCGACATAAAAACTGAAGGTAAAATTAGACAATATTTGAAGAGCGAAATATCATTTATTTATACTCACTTGTGGCAGCACTCCTAGCAGATGAACTTTTATTGCATGTGTACATCTACATGTTTGGCATGCATGATTAATTTATGGGATAAATGCATAATAGATAGGTATTGGCAATACCTATTGTTACATGGCATATACAGGAGGAGTGTGTACATGTATTACTTGAGAATACTGAGTTCATACCCCATAATCAATAATAGCCTCCCTTAATCCCATACAAAAAACAATACTAACTTGTGTGGTTGGATCACATCGTGCTATGTTCTGAAACATATTGGGTGGGGGGTTACCCTGGCCTGCAGGGCACGGGTTCAAGTCAATCTTCAAGAAGTCTGTATCCATGACGATTGCACCAACAAATCTAAATAACAACAAATGCATTTCTGTGATCTCAATCATGTAATAAGTAGATATACATGTATAAAAATGATGTTTCTGCACGATATAAATATATAATTAAATACACTGTATACAGCTTCTGTGAAACAAAATAAGGCCACTGTAATTAGAGATAGGTATAAGGATAAGGCCACATGACATTGTTGTTTGACGGGTACTGCATACAGCATTCTTACTTCCCTTCGTTCTTTTTTATTCTCTGTAATTGAAATATTTTTAAGCTTTATTTATTCAATTGTTGAAATCAGATAACTATAACTGCAAATTCCTTGCCTTCATCAGAAATTGATTAACTTTGCGAATTGATAATAAAAAAAATTCTAGAAGACTTAATGCATTTATAGCTTCCATGAGGAAACAACCCCAATATATAAAACCATGAAGCCGGATGTAGCCTACAATAAACAATGAAATGATATGAGTATGCACTTTATATACAAATTTATATAAACATTATGCAAGTATTTCATCTGTGTCAGGTGAAAGAGGCCTGATCAGGATATAACACATACTTGTGCAGTGCTTTACAAAAGTATTAAGTCATTAAACAATAATGAGATTTTCATGTTTAATATAACAGCAACACTAAGGCATAGTTTGTGACTTAACGATTTGCTCCGCTGAACCCAACTTCAATTAGTTACTATGACAACCACTACAGTAACAAATATCATCATGTCTTATAGCCAAATTTTTACATCTACTCTATGTACGAGACTCTGGCCCTGATAGTACTAGTTATTTATCGCTAACATCTGAATACAATGAGAAGGGGTTCACAAGTGTAAGTCACACCAACTCTAATTTAACGTCAGATACCAAACAATAGAGTTATCATCACTTATTAGAACGAAACTGACAGAACAAAGAGTTCACTCGCGATTTGTTAATTCATTCTGTTTCTGAATTCTTCAACCTTATGTAATTTCCAATACCTCTCTTATCGCATGATAATTACTGCTCATAAGAATGTGATACATTTATTGGATGTTCACGAAATTATGGCATCAGGAAGACATCTTGGTTTACACTGACTAAGGCGTGGTACCAATTATTAAATGGAAACACAACTACAGAATACTATAATTGTCTGTCATGTAAAACTTGGTTACTTAGATTGCTTTCTACTCAGCAGTGGCTCTAGCACACCTGGGGTTATGATGAAAATAGTGTATGTTTTAATTACAAATCCATTAAGAGTATTCTAACAAGGCACAGGGTGAACAATAGAGACCTGAAACATATAACAAACAACATTTGTAAAATTCTGAAGTAATTCTGTTAAGTTGTACTGGAATTGCGATGACAAGTAAAGTGAAAACAGCCACCCACACACCTGCAAGCTGACAATATCGTATCTTTTTTTGGTATGATAAAAATTGATTTGTCTTATTCTTCGTTGTTATTTATGCTACTCATTCTCTTTATGTTGAGATATCATGATGATTTGTATTTCTCTGGTGATGTCTCAATGACATCATCAATCATGAAGAAAAATTATTCAATATAAGTTGATAAAAATAAAAGTTATATGGTACCTAATTTGGTAGAAATATCAAAATTATTCATAACACATTCAGAAACATTCACATTCAGAAACTATAGAATCTCTCCCTGTTGCATCGCAAATCTCTCCAGAAGGACAGAGAAGGAGAGGACGTGGCTTACCACAATGCCAGAAAGGTGGAACACAAAATCAATTTTTAAGAATGAAATTCATTTTCTGCATTGTCATATTAGAAAAATGAAACAGATTAGTTCAAACATTGAAATTTAAAATGTAGTAACTTATCTCGGTTAAAGGCCGCCTTTCCATCATTCTTCTTTGGCTATTTAATTATCAACTTGTCATAACTTTTGAAGAATTAAATTACAGGTTTTACAACTTTGTATTATTTCTTTGAACAAGAATACCTTTTTAATAAATGCCCATTTCTGGATGGAGTTACAAAAGTTTGGCAAAATCACTCCATCTGATAAGGATACATACCTGCATCTTCTCTTTTGCGTCTTTCTTTCATAGGCCTAACTATCCTATACAACATTTCAAAATTCCAATTCGAAGGTATCAATTGTTTAAATAGTTTGCGTTTTTTTTTCATGATGAGTAGTTAAATATATAGCATGATTCAACATCCTCAAGAAAGATTGCTGGTACAATTTGAGATTCATTTTGATTTTCGCTTCTCTTCTGTTGAATAGGTGCAGATCAGTCTTCCAACTAGTACAGTTTTGATACACTCTTCTGTTTCAGTTGCATGATGATCATTGAAATTACACGATCAACTGGTGTCTTCATAGTCAGGTTATATATTAATAAATAATAGCATGAGCCAATCAAAGCGCCACACCTAGATTATATTGCAGCTTGATGTGAAGCAGCCATACATACACAGAGGGTTCATACCAAAGATTGGTCAGAATATAATATAAGAAAATAAAAATACAAATTAATTATTTTAGTTTAATCTTCAATGATCTTGCAGATCTGAAGTAATTTTTTTAATATATAGTAAAATAAAACATATAATGATGTATACATTGGCGTCAGAAGGGGGAGGACGTTGGGGGCGACCGCCCCTCCCGCCCTTTCCCAGATTTTTTTAGATTTGAAATCGAGCCTAGAATTGAAAGCTCTAGCAAAAGTTTTTTAAGTCAAAGTCAAGTTTTCTTTCTTAAATTTGAAAATTTTCTTTGGGCATGGGCCCTAATCCACCTAGATTGCGTTTTGCGTGCGGCGCGCTTCACGCATGACCCAGCCATACCCAAAAGTCGCCCCCTCCCTTGGTAAATCCTTCTGACGCCCCTGTGTATAATAGTATATAATGATGTAAAATAAAATTAAACAAAGTAGGATGCACTCATATTATATTATTTTGAGTGGTAGGTTTGAGTAAATCTAATACTAGTTAACAAAAAAAATTCAATTTCATACTGCAAGTAATTAAAACATTGTTTATCACTCCATCTCATAGTACCTTCTCACTATAGCACCCACTGAAAGGGTTTTCTTCATCATAACAGATTTTCTTTGACTTTCTATGAGTTTTTGCAAAAGTTCTTGTATAAAATATCTAATTTCAGTTTAAAAGTAAAAAGGTAATACTCATCATGAGTGAATGTTGAAAAATTAAAAAAAGTTTGGGGGAAATTCTGTGAAGATCTATTTCAAATATCATATTTTTACAATTTGTTTTTTATTACACATTAACATTTTCACCAGCAACCTTGTACAGTTTAGAGAATTGGTAAATGAGCAAACATTGTTGAATTCATTTTTCCTTGTCACCCTTTTCAGAAAAAATGTAAAATTGTTTCACTTACAGCAAACAAGTGCATCGAACTGAACCCAGGTGCGGAGGGTACACATCAGAATTGAAAATATAACTGTAAGATAATGCTCATGTTAAATTGATATCTCTCCTGAACACCAGTGTGAGATTCTAATTAGTTCATAGGGGCTCATTTCTCCTAGCTTGATACACTACACTAGATTAGTATAGTCATGTTTCTCTGTAGAAATAATAGATGCTTTACCAGATAATTACCAGTCTTGGTCCATGAAGGGTTAATTTCATATGACTAAAGGAATATACTGGTTTAACAGTGTGATAATTATATAATAACAAAAATATTGATAAGAATTGCAATTTATAATTATGACCATTTCACACTGGTTCATATATACTCATCACATCTGACATGAAACTGGAAATGTTTCTCTAATAAGTTTTTAGTTTTGTTTTATTAATCTAAAGTATGGTATTGGAATTAATATCAAAAGGATTAATATCAGATTTTCCACTAAACATGAATTTTGCAATACTGTATATATATGAAAAGATTAACAACTAAATCCGTGCAATATAATCAAGTCAGGGGTTGTCATGGAAATAGGACACTCATATATTAAATTACATGTACTTGTAAGAATAGGTGTTGAAAGATTGTCACTATTTCAAGCTGTTAATTATGATTTCTAGTCCCCCACAAAATTTTTTTGACTGAAGATTCTTATTTTTATTTCATAAATCTTTGCATCTGATTGAAAACTCATGATTTTTCAAATGTGTAATTAAATGGTTACAAATCAATATTCAAAGGGGTACAAGATAATCTTCAAATTCTCGATACAACACCTGATGCATTGCTTCAGAGTTTATGTTACCCAGGTGTCATTCAACGTCTCCAGGGACGACGAATGTACATGTAGTTTCAATAATGAATTATTATCTAGCGAGATAATCATATTTCATTCTGCACCATTGTTATTGAGCTGATAACTAGCGCTGGCATGGAATTGAATCAGGGCTGATTTTGGAAATTGCCTTCGGATTTTGGAACTTTTGAAATTTCGAACCGAAATGGCTAAATAAGATATAAAATATATGTTTACTCCAGTTCACATTCTTTATTAACCTTAGAATATAGCTGCAACTATAGGGTTCAACACAGAGAATTAACCAGTTTAACATATATGCTCTAAAATGGGTACTCAATGGGTTTGCGATCATGAGTTGAGAACAAGTATCAAGCTTTATACATGCAAATAACCCAGATGCGAGTAGAAATAATCTTGATTTACGTCATTAAATAAAATCACAAAAAATGAAATATCTTTTCTTTTAGTGGACAGATAATATTTTGCTTTACTGCAATATTTTCATTGGTATAAGTATCAGGCACATAAGGGTTATATGAAAATTGAGCCACTTAAATTGATAATATTCAAGTTTAAGGGAACTTTCTATACCTGCCATGTTAATTGACCCGAATCAGCCACCTGGTGGTGAAACTGGTAACTCCCTATTCGCATTTTGGTAATTAGAATAAGGGGACGTTTGGAGTCTTGAGCTAATATAACTTTCAATTAAAATGTGAATATAAGAGTTATATAAATGATGATTATGATTGGGGAAGGTGGAATGACAATTGTTTAATATACTTTCACAAACAACTTAT